AGATATTGTGCTCGACGAGTCCCTAGAGCGAGCAGAACTCACTAAGCTACTTTTGCACGCGACAGGGAAAACAGGAAGATTTACTGGCGTTCGCTCCAGTCTCTCAACGATCAATGGGACTAGAGGTGATACTTTATGAATACTTTATAGATCCTTTCGCTCATTTAGATTCAAGCGAAAAGACCAATATTTTTATCCTGCTCGATCAATCCCCAACTAAAAAAATGCCTTGGAAAAATTGTAGATAAGGCAAATAACGGTTTTTATTTTTATTTATGTGATCTTATAAACTGATCTTCTTAAGCTGACACGAGGTTGGTACAGATCTTCGCTGTCGTTGTCCTGCACGTAACATCACGGCTCTGATGAAGACGAAGTCGCCGAAACGTCAGCCATAGATCAATAGCACCAAAAACAACGACAACGACAACGAAGACCTGTACCAACCTCTTGTCAGCTTAAGAAGATCAGTTTATAAGGTCACATGAATAAATATATCAACCATCTGTGCCGAGGTTTATAGAAAGTCGGTCTTTCGGGTTTTTATTTGTTCCTTCATGTCACCTAACTTCTTAAAAGTTTTTGAAAAATGATATTCACCTGTGTTGGCACTCCTGTGATCCCGTTTTTAACTTATTATGTGTGATACATCCACAACGATGCTGAGATATTTACAATACTCCGGAGTGCAGGTGTCTGCGGTGGAGAAGTGCTTTTAGTCTTTCCAGAGGCTAACGCGTTCACCACCACACCATGGGGGTCCTTCGTTTCGCCTGCTTCTCAGCTAGTTCTATTGATCAGTGCTATCGGTAATCACCAGTCAATGGGATTGATCTGGAGAGCCCAAGTCAGCAGTGAAGCTGAGGCACTTCTTCACTTCTGCACTTGAGCGGCCCGTTCTCACCGAATGTGTGGGCTCCAGCATAATCACCATTTATCGGAGATTTGCTGGTTAAGCCATTGTAGTTCCTTGGAGTCTCGAGGTGAGCCCGGCTAAAGTCTGCTCCAGGTCTTCACCACTACGGGCAGTCGCAGCCCTTGTGGATCAGAGTGAGATTTGCCACCACGCGACTTTGATCCCAGGACAGTGGTGGATCTTGGTACTGGTTTACTCTTAGCTGGGCTTCCTGATGGAAACGCCAATCCGTCTTACGAAATTGAATTTTTATTGGAAGCAACTGAAGCAGGTGATTGTGAAACTATTGAGTTAAAACGATTGCCTACCCCAAATGAATACATGTCACCAGACTGGTTTCGGAAGTGAAACGTTGTAAGTTTTCAGATATTTCTCTTTATTGTTTTCAAGGTGAAGAACGTTAGTTCGACTTTTTCTTCGACATTGTATATTATATCACTGAATACTTTCGATTAATTCTATTTCAGAGGTCGACCAGTTTTTCCTTCAGTAAATTTTCATGTTTTAGTTTCCACTGTTAACCATAAGTGAAAAGAGTTCGGTTCCAGAGATAGAAAAAGGCCTGTTACAGTCTAAAACGAATCATTCTCTTTCTCCATTCTTCTTTTCTTCTTTCTTCCTCATTCTGTTATTCTCTCTCTCTCTCTCCCTCTCTATTTTCCATAGTCGTCACTCTGTCTCTCTCCTAATTCCCTATTCTTCTGACTCTTTTCTAAATATTTAGTATTTTAAGCAATTCTGTGCTCAGCTCTCATTCCGCCTTTTAGTTGTTCTAAAGAAGACTTCCTTCTTATCTGCGCAGTCTGCTTAAGCGTTTCTACAGAGCTAAGTGGTAAAACTAATTGATAAAAGGTGACAAAAAAAAAACTGGTACGACCCGATCTAGACCATTATGTTTTTACTGAAACCTTGCAGAGGACTTCTAAACAGCCTATTGCTTCGTTTTTTCATACTAAACAACTTGTCAAAGCTTCAGAAATTGTATATATACAAGTTTAGACCATAACGAAGATTTTAAGTATACGATAAATGTGTGAGAAGAAACTCGGGGTGGATGATATTCCCGAAGTAGAAAGGTTTCGTCTAATGTCTTACGCAAAAGCAGTAGGTCACTGTTGCATGAAGTCCTTTACCATTAGCACGATTATTATTCTAAAGTTCAATAGCGCTGAGATATTTGCAAAACTCCGGACCGCAGGTGTCTGCGGTGGCGAACGAACGCGTTATTGTCCTTTCTGCGAAGTAACGCGTTCACCACCACACCATGCCGGTCCTTCGTTTCGCCTGTCTCCCAGTTAGTTTTATCGATTTCTGCCATCAGCAATCACCCAAAGCGAAGGACCCGTTATTCGTTAATTTTGTTGAATGAATATAAAAAAATTGTAAAGTAAAGTGATAATACGAGAGAAGAAATACCGCAATAAAATATTTAAATCGCTTTTTAAAAATATGATTGCCACAGAAGTAATTCTTTGAAGCACTGCAACCACTGCAATGTACCGTTCGATCAGCCTAATAATCGATCGACCGTCATTATCGTCACCGCACTCGAATGGAGTGATTTACTGACCTCTGACAAGTTTTTTCATATGTGTAGTTCATTTTCTCCATCCATAAATGTGACGGGGGTCGGTATGAATCAAAGCACCGTATCCTCCTCGTATGAGCTCGTTTCAGGGACTTTTTTTATGAAGAAAGAACCAATGATGATTGATATAAGAAAAGATCTTATCACTTTTCGTTCCTATGAAGATCGTGTGATTCGAGGGGCGCCAGCAAATCTCCCATTTTTACCTGTTGCAGACAAGAGCAACACAGCAAGTTCTGCTTGCTCCAGGGCTTCGTTGAGCACCGTACTCTTCTTCCAGGGTTTTTATGAAGAACTCTGACCATCGGGTCGGTGGCCTTTTTTCGGTGCGTTTGACATCCCGAAAAATCCAATCACTAACGGCTGTTGTCCATTGATTATCGTTCATACGCATTACGTGTCCAGGCCACCTTACTTTCGAATTTTTGGAGTTTAGAACGGCATATTTGGTTTTTGATCGCTGACACAGGTCGGAGCTTCGGATCCCTTCACTTACTTGTGTGACACGGGATACTTCTAGCATCGTCGTTTTGACTACGCGTTCTCCAAAGCTGAGTGGCCTTTCATCCTACCTACGTAGCCACCAGATCTCTGACGTATGCGTTAACACAAGGAGAACCGTGGACTCGAGGAGATGGGTGTGGTGTCGGGTGTTCCTTGTTTTCTTCATTACATCCTCGATGCTCTTGAAAGCTCCACACGCCGCTCGCTTCCTCCTACTCAATTCTGGAGCTAAGTCGTTTATAAGTGCATTCGTAGATATTCATTCTGTTAAGCGAGAATGGGGCATACGGCATCCGTTAGTCATAACCATCGTTTTGAGAGATTTAGTCGAAGACCAATCTTTCCGTAAGCGCCATCGAAGCAGCAAGCATTCGTTCCGCCTGGCTAATGCTTGATATTATAAGAACGATGTCCTTAGCAATGTAAAGATGGTGTAGTTGTTAACCTTCTGCACTCTCGTATTGTTCCATTCCATTGTTCGGGTAACGTTTTGAAGTGTGACAGCAAGTAATTTTAGCCAGATCGTGTCGCGTTGCCTAACGCCTCTTTTGACGTCGATGTTAACACAGTGATAGAATGGTGATATTCTGGTGGAATTGGTGGTGGAATTCTTGTGTAGTCCGTATAGTATTTTTGAATACTTAGTAGGGTGCCCTAGATGTCAAAATTTTCCATGATTGCTTCTATCTCCACCGAGTCAAGAGCAAAACAATATTCATTTTAGTATCTTGATATTATTTATCTTAATATCTTCTTAATATCTTTATGAGCCTCGTGTTAACTTAATAATCCATCCAACAATCCAAATACATGTGGATCATCCTGCTGAATGCTCTTCGTAATCATGCTTTCTCACATGGTTGTCTTTGGTCCAGTGTTTCGTCAGTGGTGTTTAGTATTATTCGAGTGAAGAGGTTGTAGACGACAGACAGCAAGCAGATTGGGCGATAATTGCAGATATCATGAAAATCACCTTCTATTAACAATAGCACAGTTTTGCTGATCTTTTACCGAGTTGAAACCGTGCATTCTGACAGGTAATGTGTGAAGAGCGAAGTGTGGCAATGGTGGCTAGCAGAGGGTCCTTCACCTGATCAAATCTTGTCCTGATTCGATCTGATGCTATTTGATTCTTTATCGAAGAAATGCCATGCCAGATTTTGGAAAGGGAAACCGGTGGAACGGTATATCCATCCTCCGATAAGGGAAAAAGGGCTTTTGTAGAGATCCGAACGGTAGTCGTGAATAATTTCGTTTCCTTTCTGGAAGCTGTAACTGTTCCGTCTGAAAGTCGGAGTTCAATCAGTTGTTTTTGTAGTTGGGAAGGTTTGGAGGTCTTTGCGAATGCTTTTTGCACACTGCTCTTCTCTCTTTAAGATCTTCTTTTATCGCCTGTCTACATTGTTTTGCCAGTTCGGACGCAAGATGGTTGTTACCAGTAGCTCGTACAATTTCACGCTGGCATATCAACTCTAATGGTTTTTGAGATCTCTTCGCTGCTTTCGAACTCTCAGTTTCCATAGCGCTAACGAGAAGACTTTAATCGAGTCCATCATATTTCCCGTCGGTGTTATCAAGAATGGTGTCGTCTCAAAAACCGACTAATAGTCTAAGTAAACTCCAGTTCATGACGGGTTTGCGACTTCATTTCTTGAATTTAGAGGCTTTTCACGCGAAAAATGGAATCTTGTAGGAGGCGATGGTCTGATAGTTTGCAGAATTTTGAAATAAGCGCGAAATCGGTTAGCTAAAACTTTCGACTTACTATGATGTGGCATATTTTATTAGGGTATCCTCCATTGGGAATCTCTCACGTCCAGTTTTTAGTTTGGGATTCCTGAATTGGGAGTTATTACGAATGGCCTCCGTCGTCTCATTAAACTCATGTATCCGCTTACCATGTTTTTTCCACTCTGATTCGCAACTCCAAATGTGACGTTTTTCAGACCAGCTTTCGGGCCTAATCTTAGCGTTAAAATCTCTGGATTTTACCTAAAAGAATGTATAGCCTTCTCCGTAGAATTTCAACACGAAATAGAATGTGTCGACTTCATCCTTGTCGTAGCTGAATGCCAATGCGTAGGTGACGAAGAATGTCAGAGACGTTATTAATTCCCATCTCTTCAGCCACAAACGTTCTATTCGGGTTATCAGTCGTTCGAATAAATTGATGCTCACGGCCCACCTCGTGTTGACGAGAACTCCGACGCCACTGGCTCCTCTATGGTCGCATGTTCGAGAAAAGTTCTTCTCCATAAACGACGTTGAATGGGCAGAGTCTTCTCGTTATATCCAGCGTGATAAGGTCATACACTATCCTTTTTGCTTATATTATCAGATAAGCGGTGCAGATACAGGGGAGCGTCGCCAATCTGGTCCGTTGCGACTTAGGCAACGGTAAATGACTTCGAGATCTTAGCATCTCCGTCATATTCACCCTACCTAACGCTACCCTGTCGGAAATCCTTTTGGCGTAAGGGAAGTGAGGCCCACTAACCTTACTGTGCTTAGCGTATGGTATCCATGTATGGCTTTTTGAGCTCTGAACGTAGGGGCTGCGTGTCACGGGTGGCTTGCCAGTCTCGCTCAGACTAGGCCTGGAATTTGTTGGAGGCGACACCTAACCACTCCCCATGTTCTTTCCTGTTACTTAACTACATTCTTTTCGTCTAATTGCCTCGTAGAATACAATCCGCGTAAACGAAAAGACACCATCGCATGCATTAATAATACGTCGTCGGAAACACAGAGGACAATTTCGTACTGGCGCAATAGAAACAGTGGGCCCACCACCTGGCTCCACTTGCGTCAGGGTAGCAGAAGGATTCTTTTTGTTTGCGATTAACCCCCTGTCCGCCACCTGAGAACGCGCCACGGTGCACGGCAGCAATAGAAACAGTGAGCCCACCACCTGGTTCCACTTGCGTCAGAGTAGCAGAACGATTCTTTTTGCTTGCTATTAACCCTCTGTCCACCACCTGGAAACACGGCACGGTGCACGGCACCTAATTAGCATGAGATTCCTCTATGAGAGAAGGATCGCAACTGTGTGGAAGTTAAAAACGATGACAACGACAGTGAGAAGTGACCGAATGAATGCAAACGTTCGGAATGGTGATGTGATATTGAGCTTTAAGAGATTCCGAATTCGAAGTGTAAATCGGGAACCAATTCCGTCCTTGAAAAGGATTACTTCTATTATACGACACTGTTCAGTAGCTTAAAGTGTCCTTTGATTACAGTAGGCATTTAAAGTACTTCTTTCTAATATTATTGTTTAACTGAGTGCCTCGCAGAGTCCAATAGGACGGAATTTTTGTTCAGAAAGACAGGAGTAGAAAATGCGGACTACGACCGGTTCAGATTTGATTCTCAACGATGCCTCTCTTCGTCACATTTAATGTGAACCGTTAAGTTGTTTCTTTCAAACTTTTTCCAATTTTGAGTAAAAAGTAAAGTAAAGTAAAGTAAAAAGTAAAAGTACTAAAAAAACAAAGTGAAAAAAGTAAAAAAAAGTGAAGTACAAAGTGAAAAAAACTAAGTGAAGAAAAAGTTAAGAAATACTAGCGAAACGAAAAAGAAAAAGTGTTTTAAATAGTGGCGACAGCCTAGTTATTGAACAATACGGACGAATTTAGCTTGTTAAGAACTTTTCACTTCAGCTGAGTGATCATAGTGGAACGAACTTGGAAAACAACAAATAGTAGAAGATGCTTACAAAAGGCGACGCATAATGTGGCAAGTGAACAGGTGTCGAGTTTAGGAAATCTGAATTCTCCATGTATTTCCTTTTAAACTCTCAAAAAGTAGCAGTTGGATACTTGGATACTTGAACGGTCCGTCCTCGCTGGTTGTGTGGGAACCAACATTTTATGTTTTTTTCAGAGTTTTGCTCGTTCAGTCATTGTACTTCCCTGGAATCCCGAGGTCAGTCTGGCCAAAGTCTGCCACACGTCGTCACCACCACAGGCAGTCGCCGCCCTTGTGGATCAGAGAGACATTCTTAGCTGGGCTTCCTGATGGATACGCCGGATTCCTTCTCAGCTTGGGAGACCCTGCCGGAAGGACGAATGTTCTCGCTCTACGTCGTAGCTTGACGCCCAGGAACACCTCGTAGCCATGATAAGGTGATGAACCGTTAAGAGAGAAGAATTAGATGAAAAAAGATTTTTTTGAAAAATCTGGCATCACTCATATTCACGTGTAGCGAGGACGCTGACACCTTTTTCACTCGTTTCTTTGCCTCGCAATCGTCCTCCATGGTGATGTTTGCTTCAAACACGGTGGACTGTGCTAGTATCATGCAATAATCTGCAAAACGCCTGCATGTGATAATATAGCCGATTGGTTTTATTTACAATCACCTCCGCCCATTGTGTAGGTGGGTGTCTCAGGGGACATTTGTACCCGAGTGGGGTCCGCTCTTTCTTCCATCTGACCTCTTTTCTTCTCATTATATAGCCGACCTATCTATATTGCCTTGTCGATATAGGTTCTCCTGCGTCTCAAAAATGAGTCTTAGAAGATTTGAATTGCACACTAGTGCGTGACGTTGTGAACGCCGGTTTAAATTTCGGTAGACATCGTTCAAGTGTTCTGTGAGTAGGGTGCAAAGTTCATGACACAGTTGAAGCATGCAAGCCCACGTCTTTGCTGCATAACAGAGCGCTGGGAGCATGGCTGAGTTGGAAAGGCGAACACGGATATTCGAGTGTATTAGTATGGCCGGTGGCTCCTTTAAAAGACCCGAATGCGGCCCATAGTCCACTTCCCTCTTCTGTCTAATTCTTTCCGAATGCTGTTCTTCACGTTTATTTAATGCCCAAGGTATAAGTACGAGGTTTCTCTGTAATCAGAGAATCATCCGATTTGATCTGTTCACCTTCACACTATGGGTTTTTCTTGAACTGGGTCTTTTTCCGATCTATGCGTAGTTCGGTCTTTTTCCGCTTCGTTGAGCTCATTGATCATCGTCTTCTTCTCGTTGGTAATTCTCGAGAAGGTGAAGATGTCGTAAGCAAAACGGAGATTTTTTGGAGTTTTGCATTAATACATATGCCTTTTTCAATCCAATCGAGTGAGATTGTTACCAGTGAGCCAGTAAATAACTTTGAGGATGTTGTGTCGTTTATCGTACTCTTTTTCCTAACTGCTTGGTCGATAAAGGTGCTCTGTCTTCGTGGGCCAGTTCCGATAACAGTCGGCTGGAATTCCTATGCAGTTCTTAATTTCACTATAGTTTAAGCCCTTAAATTATTAATATGTGGGAAATTTACATTTCCATTAAAAACTCTTCTTGATAACAGATTTCTCCTCAGGTCCGAAATCATTCCTTAATCGATCGGATAGGGATCAGGACCAACGAATTGATTGTGGCAATACATCAAGCTTTTTGAGCATTTTTGAAACCGTGTATTTTTTTGGTTTTTCTTATAGTTTTAATCAAAGAGATTCCATTTTTAAAAGAAACCACACTTTAAAACATATTTCATGAATGTCACTAATGAGTAATATTTGTGCTATTCCTAATTAAGGTATGAGAGAATCTATATGGAGGAGCCAATCAATAAACTGATCAAAAAAAAACTGCTAAGCAAAGCACAGTGAAAATCGAACAAAGAAAGAGTTTTCGTTTCTGAAAACTGCATAATTTCTAGTCTAGACGGGAGTTCTCCAAAAGATAACTGGTGTTCTGCTATTCGGCGTTAAGCTTCTTTTTCTTTTGAAAGCGCCGAATACCAGTCGGGTGTGGTCTACCCTGCACGAATCCTAGCAGAGGTTTATTAAAGCGTTTCCAGGTATTCTCTACAAGTTCACAGGACTTCGTGCATCGGAAGGTGTTAGTTTCTTCAAGAACCGGTCTCATACCAAATTTGAAGGGACGGAAGGAGGTCCTGATTGGCTTAGCACGGAGCCGAACCACAACTGAGTTAAGTGCGTTCAGCCTATGGCATCTCTAACCATTGTGATTTCCAACGGTTGATTCAAAATTGTCGTGGTGAATAATTTGTCCTCGCTCTCTTCTGTCATAGCAGAGCTTTATGGAAGTATAGAATTCTACCATCAGAAGGGTTAATAGTTATGATTAAGTGGCTATTTTGGAAGAACATCGTAAAATCACAGTGTCTAAGAACTAGTTGACAGATTCTTCTTGGCTTTAGACTTTATCCTTAGTGTTTCGCAAATGTTTCCTGGTTTTTAAATTATTTTCTTACTATATGTTAAGTATCAGCGTCGGCGACTTTCACTGTATATTTATTTGTCGTTGCTATCTTTTCCACTTTTCCTCTCATGTTCTTGTGGGGCTCAATACCTCAAGAAAACTACTCTGTTTCCCAAAAGATTCTCTTCTATTTCTTCAGCTCTACTTTAATGTGTTTTTTATGATACTGTATCCATACATCATGTGCACCACATAAAAAGTTAACTGCAATTTGAAAAGTGGAAAATCATCTTTTTCATTCTTGCAGTCACATGTCCTTCCTTACCTGCTGGTTAGTATTTGGAAGTAGACACCACATAGGAGAGTTTGAGCACCACCACAGTTATCTACGGAAGAAATAAAAGAAAGAGTACGTTTCCGTAAGAGAATAAGAGAGACATGGGCAGTTTTTCCATTTTCAGTTCTTCAATCGACTACCATTAATCATTTACGATCTATGTTCTCGTGTGTTTCATTGCCTTTATTTTGTTCATTCATTCACGAGATTTCTACAGTTACTACACTAATACTCCATTAAAATCGATAGCTATATTTTGTACTGCGTGAATTCTAGGTTTTCTACAAAATGTCTCGAAGTATGTTATTTTTCTTCTCGCTACCATTGCTGACGTTCGCCATGGTGATATGGCCCGAAGTGGTGAATGACGAAGCTAAACTTAGTCGACCGAAACCCACTAGTTGGAGTGAGAAGAGTCGTGGACAATGGTGCAGGAATTTCACCGTTAATGAGTTAGTTGTTTTTTTGTCTTGAAAATTTACCTTTTTCCTCCTATAGAGCCACACAAAGGTCTTTTATTCGGAGAAGACCAGCTTCACGTTTCTGGCATCCCTCTTTTGACAAAAATTTGCTTCTTTGAGATTTTTCTTTAAAAGAAGGATATTTTTTTAAATAAGAAGAAAACCGGAAGCTAAGAAAAAAGTGAGTTCATACAATGAAGCTGGAAGAGTATCAGAAAGGAGGTTTCTATGACATAAAGGCTCAAGGTGTAACAGAACTTACCGATATGTGAAATTGTTCTGAAATTCCAAAAAAAAAAAACAGACCATGGTGGATAACTGAATTTCAAAATTAATAAATCTTAAACAACAGCTGGAGAAGTGGCATGGTTGTAGAAACATGTAGAGCCGCAGAAAAATCACTTGGTTACTAAGAATCACTTGAACAACTTTCATTTGCTAATTATGATATCTTAAACGGTTAGAACACCTGCAAAAATGGATGCTTCAAATTCATTCGCGTTTGGAAGTTGAAACCCGCAAGGGAACCTAATAATAACTTTATAAAATGCATAATAGTTGTAGCGATTTTATTTAGCTTAACCACCCATCGAATGGGGCTTCATTGACTTCTTATTATCGTTTTTCGATGGAATTGTCACTTATACACTTATTTCTCTAAACGCCTTGGCATCGCATGATGTATAGATCGTAGAGGACCATTCGTTTCCTTGTCATCTAACAGTTACTGATGACCGAGTTGGAGTGTTCATTTGGCTGCACCTTCACGACGCATAGCCTTCACTTCTGATTGAAATGTTAACACTGGTTGGGCGTTGTTTTCCCTAGAATTCAAAAACAATCGTACAAGAGGGTTCTCAAGTCCTCACCACATCCCTTGTGCATCACTGAGAGTTTGTCGCTCAGTTGCTCCAGATCGGCAGCGATTTCTTTGGCGGTACCGAGTTTTGAGATTCAGCCACTTACCTATTGAGAATGATGCATCACGTCGAATCCTGATAGAAGTTTAACATAGAGTAATAGATGAATCTTTGTAGAATAAGGGCCATTGCACGCAGTGGTTTAGAAATAATGGACAAAGTATTTGAAATTGACCATTTTCTCAAAAATACAAAATGGATCTTCTTTACTGAGATTCAGAGGTGATTGAACGCACACCTTGCCATAAAGTAAGTTCGATGCGCCTATCAGTGTATGAAGTCGACATTTTTATCCTCCGAGCCAAACCAGGTGTCAATGCATGTTCGTCTATTTCGCAGAGATAGAAGAATGGAGGACTTGAAAGGGAGGAAAGATTGAAACCGGGGAACATATAAGAAGATGAATATTTGTACTGCGAGTCACCTCTAACCAGTGCGCTACACATGCGAAAAACAGTGGCTAGTTGCTATGTGATAGCTAATTTTTCATAGAGATTTAAAGAGTTTTTGGCTCAAAATCTCTTAAAATCAGCAGAACATACTCTAGACTGCACGTACAAGTGGATGGAATAAGATTTAGGTGTCAATGAAAAAGTGCTGGTCTGGTACCTGAATTGATGACCCTTATTTTTCAGATATTGTCATTCACAAAATCGACGAAGCCAATAAATACATTCATTTTTGTTTCAACTTTCTAAAATGATTTCGCACTTCGTTTTCATTCCATTTTTCATTTAATATCTACACGATCATCTAAACCAGTTTCTAAGATCCAGTGCACTTTAGCAATACAGTAATAAGTTAAAAGTGCCCTCCATAAATTCACACTTAGGATGTGTACAGCACAGTGGTTAGAAGTACTCACAACACACACGTGGTCACTGGTCCAACCCCAAGCTCCGGGAAAATTAAGTCCATGATTTTTTTACGTTGATTTGCTAAAGTGTAATAAATAGTATTTGATATTGCAGAGAAAAGTGTGGACTTGCGCACGTCTTCTTTCACTCGTCTTTTTTCCTACTGTTGGTTCTGGAATGTTCAGCATTTGTAATTAAATTAAACCAGTGTTATTTTTTGCTGTAATATTAAATTTTTTTGTAGACACACACAATGCCCCGAAGCATCACTCTTTCACCAGTTCGACTGCTGCGGAAGCAATAATACTAAATGTTGCTTTGCTCTTCAAGGATGGGTGAGAAGTACTTCCTATTCACAGTAGCTGTTATTTTATCTTTTTGCCATAAATGCTCAACAAAAAGCATACGTTCTTGTCTTAAGTTACTATTAACTACGTCTTTCTTACGTAAAAGGTAAAGCTCTCGGCGTTGATCAATCCCTGAAGGAGGCGCCATGCATTCGACTTCATTAAGTATCGTTGGAGGTGATTGAATGCATATATGGCCTTTACGTGGCCTACCTCGCGGTGGCCTACCGATGTATCGAGCCAGTGCTGCTATCCTCCCAGACAAGTTTGGTACCAATTTACAGACCACAGAAAGATGGAAGGCTTGGTGGGCCACGGGCGTAGGGATCGATTCTACGTGTGTGTTTCAGGGCGCCTCCAACCAATGCACCACACGCGCCCCTTTCTTACATAGCCTTAGTTAATGTCTGTGAGAGCCAAAAGAAACTGAGGAGTACCTAGAGTTAAAGCGGTTAAGGAACAGACATTTCTTCATAGAGCAAAAAACGGATATATCACCATCTATTTCTAACTGGTTTCTTGTATTTGTTCATCTGTTCAAACTTTTTAGATATTCGTCGTCGGAACGCTCCTTTCCATCGTGGCCATCGTTTCGTTTTCATTCTATCTACTGTTGAAGTTTCAAATGATTTGTATTGAAAGAACCTATCCACCCAAAGTTATCTACGTGGGCGGAAAACATTAAAGATTTTTATATAACACATTAGACTACATTATTTTATGTCTAAAGAATCTAAGGCAAGATCAGCCCGTCGATATTCACGGTGACGATGAACGAACGGGTAACAACTAGTAGATGTTTTGATTCTTGCTGGTTCAAAAATTCAAGGCACTCGCAACACGAAGATTTTGAGGATTTTCGATAAAGTGATTACTATAGGTCTTATTAGAATAGGTAAATTAGACGAGAGAGGTCAGACGGCTAGAAAACGTCCGTCGTTAAACGGATTTTCACTTTTACAGTAACCTTAATACCACTGTGAACGTTTTTTGTTAGGTTTTTAACCAAATTCCAACTTGGAAAACTTTTTAAAATCACTTTGATAATAAGTACTTTTGAATTTGTCAGGAAAGCTTGCATATCCTTCAAATTTACTTCAAGCTCTTCTTGTGATCATTCGCCGATTACTTTCTTTCCGTACTAAAAATAACGTTGTAAGCCACTCAGATTTCAGTTTTTGTATTCATACCAACATAACAATCTCCACTCTTTTCATTTGTTGATTTCTCATCCACAAATCCTGTCTCACTTTTTCTTCCTATTTTTGTTATATTATCGATTAGATAACACTGTCTACGGGTTGCAGATCAGTTAGCTCACCCACACTGATTGACTGTATTGTCCGCTGAAATTGTACTTAAATTGTGACTTTCTGATTTTCTATATATGATATGAAATAAAATGTAATAAAAGACGAATTCCACGAATGCATCCTAATGTAGAAGAGAGAGGGAAAGAGAAGGAGAAATAGTAAGAATAATTTGAGAAATGGAACGACTTCGAAACAGGGAACGACTTACCGAGTTGAATAATTCACTGATCTTTTGATGCCAACTGGCAACTGTCGACTTGACCTTTCAAGGCACTGAAGAAGACGAAATCCTCCGAAATGTCAGTTTCTTCATAAATAAGGAATAAAGTAATAACGTTGTGATTGCTCATCATGACAACAGTAAATTATTCGATCATTGTCGAGCTTAACCGAACTGTTTGTTAACGTAGAGTATAACTGAAGAAATAATAACATGGTAAAATCAGTTCCCAAGACCGACTTTTTATGAGCCTCGGCAGATTGTAGCATCAATTAATATTTATTCCGTATTATATGAGACGGACGCTAAACAAAAAAAAAGCAGGTGGAAAGAAGCGATTTAACAACAATATGAAAACATCTAGGATTATAGTTTTCGTTATTAATCTATCCCTTACGAATACCGCATGCATTTGAATCTTTTCGGGTTATTACGAAGGTGATTCCTCCTTTATTCTACAGATAACCAATACATTGATCTGCGGAGGTGTTCTGGTGCACCAACTCAATGTCTTCTTGTCCCGTACATTGACCGACCGAGGCCCTCCAATGCATCAACTTAGTGTCATCCTTCCTCCAACTGAAATTTATGTTTGGTTAGCTTGCGATATGAGGTCGAACCTACGACCATATCACCTGTAGTCCTGTTGATCGTCGAGTGACTCGAGCGGGCGCCAGTAAATCTTCCATTTTTCCCTGTCGCGTGCAAGAGTAGCCCAGTGGGTTCTGCTCGCACTAGGGACTCTTCGAGCATCATACCTTTCTTCAAAGCTCGTTGTGAAAGATTCTCACCATCGGGTCGGTAGTCTTTCTGCAGTACGTTTGGCATCCCGAGGAATCCAGTCACTAATGACTTTTGTCCATTGCTTGTCATTCATACGCATTACGTGTCAGGCCCACCTTATCTTCGACTGCTTAGCGTACAGAACTGCATCTTTGATTTTTGATCGATGACGCAGATCGGAGCTTCGAATCCCATCCCTCAATTGTGTGAAACGGGATACTCCTAGCATCGGCCTTTCGACTGCGCGTTAGGTAACGCTGAGTGACCTCTCATCCTGTTTATGCAGCGACCAGGTTTCTGGCGCATACGTTAGAGTAGGAAGTACCGTTGAGTCGAAAAGGTGGGCTCGGAGTCGGGTGCTCTTTGTTTTCTTCACTACATCCCCGACGCTCTTGAAGCTCTTCAAGCCGCACGTTTCCTTCTGCTTAGCTGTGTGCTTAAGTCCTTCATCATATTGATTTCACGATCTAGATTGACATAACTGCAGCATTCGGAGATATTCGTTCCGTTGAGCGTGAATAGGGCATGCAAAACCAATCTGTCCTTCATAAACATCGTTTTTGTGAAATTTAGTCGAAGACCAATCGTTTCACAGGTTTTACCAAAGTCGTCAAGCATACGTTCCGCCTGGCTAATGTTTGGTGTTATAAGGACGATGTCATCAGCAAAGCGAAGATGGTGTAACTGCCGACCGTCCATTTTCACTCCTATATTATCCCATTCCAATGCTCTCATGGCGTTCTGGAGGGTGGCGGTAAATATTTTTGGTGAGATGATATCGTCTTGCCTAACTCCTGTTTTGATGTGAATGTTAATACCGTTGCAGAATGGTGATATCTTGGTTGTGAAATTTTTGCACAGCTCACGAAGAATCTTTATGCACTGAGTAAGGATACCTTGACCATCAAGGGCTTCCAAGACTGCTTCTATCTCAATTGAATCAAAAGTTTCCTTTGAATCGATGAAAGTGAGACAGAGCGGTCCTTTGTACTCTCGCGATACTTCAGTGAACCGTGTTATCGTGTGGTTGTGGTCCATCGTAGTAAATCATTTTGGAAACCCTGCTTCTCACGTAGTTGTTCTTCTTCTAGTGTTTTGGCAACCCTGTTTAGGATTACTCGAGTATAAAGGAGGAAACCAGGCAATGGAAGCAAAGCTTCAGGGAAAGGTTTTCTTGTCCAATTAACGAAGCTTTCTGTCAAAGATATTGATAAAGCCCAAACAATTCTTCACGAACGCGTTCCATATTATGTATAGACATTCAATAGTCAAATTATCCATGCCTGCTTTCCAAAGTTAAACGAATTTTCGCTCCAATACCGAATTTCCGTTTCGTTTTGTTTTACGTGACCTTTCATCACGTCTTCTTTGCGGACCCCGACACTTTTACGCCCCGTTTTTCCCTTGCATTCATGGTCCACAGTGGTCTTCCAACATTCGGCGTGCTGGATAGGATACTGCTTGAATATTTTGCTTCTCTTTATGAATGCTGTAAAATGATGATCGAGTCGACTATGTTCGCAATCTTAAAGATAGCCGGACTAATGGTTTCCCAGGTGAAATGAAGGAGAGCGTTGGGGAGGCGATCGAACTAATGTATTTCCTTCCTGATCGATGGCGTCATTAACCACTACGTTGCCCTTTCCTCACTTTAATACCGGTTTCAATGTATAATTCATTCCGCAACTTATGTCGCTTGCAGACAGGGACAGAATGAACATACCGAAAGCTGCTCAGCGAATAAAGCGAAAACTGTTCTGTTGCGATCATATTCTTGAATACCTTGATGACATATTTCCACGAAGGGTTATAGCAGTTTTCCTTGGCCTCGAAACTCTGTGCTAGGGACGCCACGAGTTTTATCGTCCGCCCTTATGGTTCGGAAAGAAATTTACTACCTTGTAACTGGGGTTTCTATAATGCGACAGGAACTGGTTGTCCTGATTCACTGTTTGCTGGATGAGAAGATTTAACCGTCGCAGAGGTTCCCTGTTTGTTAGGAAAACACAAGTAAATCGTCCACTCATGGCGAAGTTACAAATCATTGTTCGTCTTTAAAAGAAGTAAAATGAGAACTTTCCCACAATTAAGCAATTCGATTGAAATTCTCTAACACTTTTGATGGAAAATTTTATACTATGTAGTAAATATAGTCATTAAAAAGGAGGCCTTAATTCCAATGATGCAGATGGAAGCTCACAAACAACTCAATTCTGTAGGGAATGAAGAGCAAGTTCGCGTAGCTCAGTGAATAGTTAGTTGATTAGTCTTACTGCGAATCTTTTCGACTCTCGAAAGTGAATCATTTCTAATGGCGGCTAATTGGAAGACCTGTAATGTGTAGACGTTGTCATAGTTACGAAGATTTGAGCGAGAGTCGAGAAATGGAAACTGGTGTATCTCGAAGCGACCAAACGTTAGCCGAATGATCAAGCTGTTTTATATCCATTTTTATGACCATCGAGTCGGTGGTCTTCCCGCAATGCGTCTAACATCCCAAGGAATCTAGTTACTAACAGCACTTGTCCAGCGGTCCAGCGGTTGTCATTCATGCGCATTACGTGACCGGCCCACCTTATCTTCGACTATTTGGCGTACAAAACGACATCTTTGATTTTTAATCGTTGACGCAGGTCGGAGCTCCGGATCCCATCCTTTACTTGTGTGAAAAGGGATACTCCTAACATGTTGCTTTTGACTGCGCGTTCAATAACGATGAGTGATCTTTCATCGTACTTACGCAGCGGCCACGTTTCTGACGCATACGTTAAGGCAGGAAGTACCGTTGAGTCGAAAAGGCCGCTCACTTCCTTCTGCTCAGCTCTGGAGCTAAGTCGTTCAACATGTTGATTTCCCGACCTAGATAGACATAACTGGAGCATTCGAAGACATTCGTTCCGTTGAGCGCCAATGGAGCATGCGAAACCAATCCGTTCTTCATGAACATCGCTTTTGCGGGAATTAGTCAAAGAACAATCTTTCCACAGGCTTTATCAAAATCGACAAGCATACGTTTCGCTTGGCTAATGTTTGATGTTATAAGGACGATGTCATCAACAAAGCGAAAACGTTTTGGAGGGTGGCGGTAAATAATTTGGCGAAATGGTATCGCCTTGCCTAACTTCTCTTTTGACGTCAGTGTTAATATCGTTGTAGAATGGTGATCTCTTGGTTGTGAAATTTTCGTACAGCTCACGAAGAATCTTTATGTACTGAGCAAGGACTCCTTGACCATCAAAGGCTTCCAAGACCACGTCTATCTCAACTGAATCAAAAGCTTTCTTTAAATCGATGAAAGTAAGACAGAGCGGTCTTTTGTACTCTCCCTATACTTCAATGAACCGTGTTACCGTGTGGATGTGGTCCATCGTACTAAATCCTCTTCGAAACCCGGCTTGCTCACATTTCTGTCCTTCGTATAGTGTTTTGTCATTTCTGTTTAGGATGACTCGAGTGAAAAGTTTGCAGACTACAGGCAGTAAGCAGATTGGGCAATCGTTGCCGATATCGCGCGAGTCACCATTCTTGAACAATAACACTGTCTTGCTGGTTTTCCACTGAGTAGGAACCTTGCATTCAGACAGGTAACGTGTGAAGAGCCAAACCAGTGTGTTTATGAGAACTGGCGGAAGGTTCTTCAGGTGTTCATATCTCATTCTGTCCGGGCCTGGAGCTGATCGATTCATCACCGACTAAATTGCATGTCGGATTTCCAAAGGGAGAACCGGTGATACAACATATCCATCCTCCTTTATTTCATATGACTGAAGGTGGACGTGTCTATCGTATAGATCAGAGTAGTATTCGTGAATTATTTTCTCCGTCGCCCTTCTGGAAGCTCTAACTGTTCCGTCTGGGCGCAGAAGTACATTCATTTTGGTCTTGTAATTGGCGAAGCTTCGGTGGAACTTACCAGTGCCTTCCACAACCTCTGCAGCTTCGGCTATTACTGCTGCTCTTCTCTTTTTGAGGTCTCCTTTTCCCGCCTGTCTTAATAGTTTTGCAAGTTCGGACGCTAGTTCGCGTTTGTCTGCAGCTCGTGCGATTCCACGCTGGTGTGTCAGCTCGAGTATTTCTGGAGACAAACGTCTCTTGGTGACTTTCGAACTCTCAGCTTTCATAGCCTTATCGCGATGTTGAATGCGCCGATCGTTTTTTTCGTCGATGTTATCGACAACGGCATCTTTCCAGCAGTCGACTAATGAATTGAATAAATCCCAGTTTAAGGTGGTTCTGGGACTTCGGTTTTGAAATTTAACCGCTTTTTCTCTTTTCGCGAGAAATAGAATCTTGCAGGAGGGAGCCGATGATCTGATCCCGTGTAGAATTTTGGAACAGCGATATCGGTTTGGCAAAACCTTCTATTTAATATGACGTGGTCTATTTCGCTGTGGTACTCTCCACTGAAAAAAATCACGTCCAGCGCTGAGGGTGGGGCTTTTGGAATTGCGAGTTACCATGGATTGTCTTGGTCGCCATGATAAACTCAGATGGCCGCTCACCCTGTTCGTTCCATTCTAATCCGTGCGTCCAAATGCTACGTTCCTCAGACGTTCTTCTTGCTCCAATCTTGGCGTTGAAATCTCCAATGATGACCTTGAGGATTGTGTGGTCTTTTTTGTAGATCTTGTCCAAGCCCATATAGAACGCTTTGCCATCTTCTTCGTCATAGTTTGATGTGGGCGCGTAAACGACATGGATTGTCAAAGCCGGAATTGAACCACGTCTTTTTAATCGTAAACGTCCGATTCGGGTTGTAAGTTTTTCGAATGAATCGACGTCCATCGAGAAACTCGTGTTGACGAAAACGCCGACGCCGCCGACTCCTTTACTGCCGCGTGGTCCGAGGAAAAGTTCTTCTCCGGTGTCAGACGGCGTTGAAAGGCTGGCGTCTTCTCGTCTCGTCTAGGCCGATGACGTCGTACCTTATCGTTCTTGCTTGCATGAGCAAGTTTTTTATCGAGGACTCGGATGCAAGTGCGCGTGCATTGTAGGTGCGCATCGTCACCATAGTTCTTTGTAATCCAGCCAGCTTCCATTGGCCCTGAGATTTTAGCAGCCTCTCCGTACTCGTCCTACACAACACTGCGAAATTGGAGCTTTTTCGGGGTTAGGGGAACGAGGCCCTTTTCAGCTCCGGAAATGAGCCGTTCATTATGCTAACACATCGACTAAGATACAGAAGCTATAGCATGTTTTCATTGTACTGAGCATTAATAATGCATAGGAGATAATGATGGCTGACAGGAGGTGCGAAGTGGATCCAGAGACCACGTGCGTATTGCAGGGCGTCTCAAACTATTGCGCTACGCCATTTGCATAATAATAATCTAACAGGTTCTCGCTAAAAGGGGCGCATTCTATGTTTTGAATAGATTCTTCTGAAGACAGCGCATTCTATGCGTTGAATAGAAACGGAATCAAATCGTTCCTCATGGTCCTTGTTTTACTGTTCTCGATGACCATTCGTTCCACAGGTTTTCTCAAAAAATTAACAGTTGCTAAAGTAGACGAACTATTCGGCCAGGATGCTGTGCTTCTACTGATTTCTCTAAATTCATAGGTTTCCAAAGTTGATTCCTTTTGTGTTCGACATTTCTTACCTGTTTATATGTTGAGAAGCACCCAGTAGCAATTTGTTGAAAACCAAAAGCAAATTTATTATCCGAATCACATCAATCAATAAACTGGTGTAAATCGAACTGGCGCTACTGAACTAGAAAAACTTAATGGTAATTCGAGAAAGAGATGGTGACAGGCTCTGCTCATTGTTCGGACTCTAGAATTAAAATTACATAGGATGACTCGTTTACGATAAATATATTTGTAAATGAATATTTTCTTGACTTTATGTGTCATCTCATCTTATCCTATCACTTTTTCTCTAACGCAGTTGCATTAGTAGAGGTTCCAGATCGAAGTGAATTGGTTTCACTAGGCTTCTTGTCCTCAGTCGGTTCTAAAATATATTCTCACAATAGAATGTGACCACACAGAACCAACGTGTTTCGAAGCGTCCATAACAAATTTCTGATCATCGTTTTTAGATGAGTGAACAACATATTATCGTTCATTCCTTTATTAACCCTGAGAAACATTCCTGGATGGTAGAAGGCGATGAACACAGAGCTGCTCATCACTTTGGGCTGATCTTTAATTGTCATGATTTCGATGTCTCTCTTTGGAGAAAAGAGCCAGGCCGTGAAACGACTAAGTACAGTGAGCTACACTTGGCTACTTTCACTAAAAAAGTGCTTCATATTAAAACTCGGATGTTCTTCTTATCCATCGAACGAGCGGAAGCTACAAAGCAATTCTAGTGCGCGGCAGGAATGAATGGAGACAGTATTCGTGAGCGACCTAGCAACTCGATAATTTAACAACGCATTAAAGTTCGGTTACGGATGAAATAAAGATGAAAGACGTAAAAGCTCTTCATTATCATTCCAGTCTTGATGGTGACTGATGGACATAACCCATATTCACTAATCAGAGCTGATATTGTACTAACGCTCTCGTGAACATGTCTGCAATCTCTTTTCCCACATTATTACATATATTCATGCAATATTTACAGCTGGCCTTTCTAGCACCTGGAGATTGAAGTTGACCGTTGTCGGATAAAGCGGTGAGTTCATCCTGATATCAAAAAAAAAAATTCTTTGGCTCTTTTTGATTCATCTCTTTCATTGAAAGTTTCTGATCTCGCCTTCACTTGCACTCCACTTTCCCTTCTTCATGAGGGAGTGATAAAGTTGTGTAAGCAAGTAGGAAATGATTAGTACGTTAAAAGGCGATTCAATTCCGTAATACAGAGAGTGAGTAAGCACCCTATATTCCTCAATGAAACTCGTCAATTCCATCACAGTTTTTGAAAGAGTTGAGTTTTCAACCAACAATAGAAAATTTTTAGTTTTCTAATCAATAAAACATACGAAGCACTAATTTAAATTTTTTTAGTCTTGAATTCGTTGAAAACATCGAAATCAATCGTGGGTAACTTGCCATCCGATGGAGAGTGTGATGAATCAAGGAGATCGAGGTGTTCGAGATCCTCCTTCACATAGTGATAAACAATGCCGGCACCGATCGCATCTCCGAGCACATTGACCGACGTTCGAGCTCGATCACTGCATTTAAAAATAAAAAACCACTAGCTTTTCCTTTCTACCTCAAAAAATTGGGAGCAAGAAATGATAAAGTTGGGAAGCACAGCTACATGCGTTGATGAGAGATAAAATCTTCACCAATTTCTTGCATTACTATAACCTCACTGAGCAGGTGTTGATTTGCAAAACACAGTGAGGCGTATTGAAATTGGGCAATCACTCCATATTCCTATGCGGAAGTTCGACAAACAACAAGTCTATGCCACGGAGAAGCCCAGAAACGTTGTCGTGGTTACTTTTTCGCTAAATATAGTACAAAATTGTCAATACACCAAGGCGGTGCTGCTCCTCTAGTCCATTTTGCGCGCAGGAACAGTTAGGGCTTATCATTAGCTGTTCGGACTATTCGGTGATTAACGGATCAATAAGGAATACAACTAAAATCTTTTAAAAAAAACGAACCACAACTTTTTCACTATAGATGTTCAAGAAAAGTAAAGTCGAAAGTCGAATAAGGAAAAAAGTTGGATGCTCATCCCATCAAGAGTTCCATTTTTTTGGCGGTTTGTACTCAAGGACTAGAGCAGGTTCAGCACCACAGTCGCCAAAAATCGCAGATCTCACGTACAGCATCCAGTCAACAGCGATAATCAACGATACATCGCTGACTGGAAGTCCAACTGATGTCAACACCAATAACATTGTCACCAAACCGGCTGACGGCACTCCTGCTGCACCGATAGATGCAAGGGTGGCAGTAAAACTGTAAAAAAAACTATTGTGGCTGGAATTCTCAGAAGAGCAGTGCCAATTAAACAGCGTATGTTACTAACCTAACAGTTATCACTTGTGCAAACGACAAATCAACGCCATTCATCTGAGCGATAAAAATAGTCGCAACCGCCTCGTATAACGCAGTTCCATCCTTTATCATAATATTTTTACTCCTTAGCATTATTTATCCCACCGATTTTTTCTTTCATACTTTTGGGACGGTCTTTATCACAAAGCAGCCTATTTGCTTTCTTCTTTTCGGTTTTTGAGGAGCGATGATGAGTGTGTAGAGCGGATTGAAACTTTCAACTAAAACCCACTATCGAAAAACAACAAGCACTGGAATCGCTAATGAAGTTATCAAAATTAGACTGAAAAAAGGTACAAGTATTCGAATGTTCTTATATAAACCAGTTGCGATCAAAATGTTTGAGAGAAGACAAGCTTCGCTTCTTGAAAATCGTTGAATAAAAACGGAATCCTTACGGAGACATTCATCATTTTATTAACATAATATTTATTTTTCAAATAGAGTACTGTAAATACAAGAAACCAGTTAGAAATAGATGATAATATACCCGTTTTTTGTTTCATAAAAAAATGTCTGTTTCTTCGTTTTATCTCTAGGTATTCCTCAGTTTCTCTTGGCTCTCACAAACATTAACTAAGGCTATGTAAGAAAGGGGCGCGTGTGGCGCAGTGGTTGGAGGCGCTCTGAAACACACACGTGGAATTGATCCCCACGCCCATTGCCCACCAAGCCTTCCATCTCTCCGTGGTCGGTAAATTGGTACCAGACTTGTCTGTAAGGATAGCAGCACTGGCACGATAAATCGATAGGAACTGCGAGTCATTGTAAAGGCCATATATGCATTCAATCACCTCCAGCGATGCTTAATGAAGTCGAATTCATTGCGCAACCCTTACGGATTGATCAACGCCGAGAGCACTATCTTTTCTGATCCGCATTCATATATACTGTGCATTTCCGATTCCTCCATTGCTTGCATTCTTCGATTCGTTTACTCACGCCAAACGAATGTCTTCGAACTGCATGTGGGTTTGGCATTTGTTTAGGAATTGTCGTCTTCTTTATGAATACTGATCGGATTGATTTTTCTGGAGTCCTAGGAAGAAAGGACGCCCGCACTTGGGTTGCAGGAAGTGAACTGTTCGCAGATAAATCTGGCACCATGTTCCAAACCTCGGAAGGATGAAGGGCTTGGTGACCCTGAAGGTATTTCAGCGAGCACTGTACTCGTGATGAATGAGGTCGATATATGGCAGTGCTACACACCCCTGTTAATATGACATTGTAAGGCGAGCAGCTTCTTTGGATAGAAAGAAAGGTCACACTTAAAAATGAAGACTAGATGATAGAGGATAGATCTAACAATAAAGTTGTTTCTGAAAGTTATCCTAAACATTGGACGATTTTTTCAGTTAGTCCGAAACCTTACCATATTGATTGTGGCCCCGATAGGAAGTACAAAACGTGAAACTCTTCGATCAACGCCGAGATTTTCTTCAACACAATGGCAGGTGATGGGAAGCGTTGCCGAACTGAATAGCTATGAGTAGGAATTTAAACATCCATTGTTTGTGACTTATGTGACTTATTAAGTTTTATCTACTGAGTTTATAGAAGTGTTTGGCCGAGCGAATTGGTTGTCAATTTCACCTTAAAGCAGTCCTTGCACAGTGTTATTACAAATAGTAAAAAAAAGACATCATTTGTTAGAAATTGCTTAATGTCTTGCGAAAAGGACCTGGAAGAGGTTCCTAACGCTGTTATCAACGCTTGAAGAAGTCCACGCATATAGATGTACGGATTAGTATTCGTGGTGACGAAGAATATTAACGGAAGAGAAATAAGCAGGTGTATTGCTAATCCAGCCAGAACCTGAAAAAAAGAATAATTTCCCAAACAGTCTTTGACTTTAACCCATGGATCTTTTTCTTTATTGCCTAACAAAAGCATAAATTCCAACTGGATTAGTGGGGAAGTTCGAGCTAATTGGATAGCAGAAAGGAAGTGGTAGACTGCGAAAGCTTTTAGAATCTTCGGTAAGGTGCCGAAATGTGTCTGAAACCTTGAAATTATAGAAGACTAGTTGCGTTTTGCTTTTTGTGGATGAGTAGTCCGGTGGAAAAATGAGATTCCATTCCGTTACTGACTGTTGTAAAGACCGAGTGATCGTAATTGAGATTTTCTTGAAAGCCACATGAAAGCTTTTATTCCACGCTGACCAACTTCCGTCGTGACTTGTTCATAAAAATTTTGTTTTTCAGAAAACTACGTGTATTGCGTGATAACAACGTGGAAAAAATATCTGTATTTGCTATCAGCTTAGGTTGATGTAAAACCGGCTAATGTTTTCTTTCTCTTATTTATATGGTCCGCTATCATAGTTTGTATCACGGAATGTCCTCCATTAGCTTCGGTGGATTGCATCTGTCATCCACCAACTCTCGGGACTTGCACGTGGGTCCTAAGGATTTCATTATTTTGATGAGTGTCGCTTAAGGCTGATTGAGAGTTGATTCATCTTAGACTAATTCCGCCATAGTTGCCAGATCATTATTGCAGGTAGCCCCTACATTTCGTGGCTCGGAAAGAGCCTTCCTAGACAAGCCTGCTACCAATTTGCCAACCGCGTGGAGATAGTGATCTGATTGGCCCAGTAAGGTATCAAACTAGGGACCACGCGACCACTGTATCTCTTACTACAGCGCCTTCGGTGCTGCTTCATAATATGCATCCAATGGCGTTTAGGAACTGCTGTCAACCGCGTAGTTAAGTAGTGAAGTAGATGAAGTTATCACATACAAAGTGATCACGGCACAACAAATTACTTCATATATTCATATCGATATAACTACATCACAGTTGAAGGCGTACAGAACAGTGATGTGGTTACACTTCTATGCAAATGTTTGTGAACTCGATCCTTTCATGCATCGACCATCACAACCCTTACACTTTCAGGGTCAACTGAAGAAAAGTGTCCGGCTCATTTTTTCGTCCGCTTTAGTGGCCAAGTGTGTGAAATCCATACATAAATTACGGTAGAGCAAAATCATTGTTTGAGGGAAAAAAGTGGACGGTGACATTATAAAGTAGTTACCATAAATTTCGTCAAATGCAAAAAAAAAGACTCTACATACCGTGAACATATACAAACCCAGCATTCTTGCAATTTCGGCTAGATCCTGGATCTCAAGGATTTTTCCCATGATCAAGCATAAAATTCCCAAAGGAGAATACCTAGAAAATATCCATAAGGAAAGGAAATTTCGGTGATAAGAACGAGATCTTGAGTATTACATTGGTATGACATTACAAACAAATATTTCTGTAGCGGCGAAACTTCAAGCAAAAATCGATAACGTAAGAAAATAAGAGGGACAAAGCATGTAACCTGGTCGTGAACCCTCTGGGCAAAAAGAAAACATCTATTTGTTTTCTTAGAGTTCTCACCTCGCATGAAACATTGTATATATATATATATATATATATACCCATAAGAACCAAATTCATATAATATTTACTGTAAAAACGTAAGAAAATAAGAGGGACGAAGCAGGTAGAAAATAAGTTCGCAGGCCCTGGCGCAAGTTATGCAGAACTCCCACTAAATTATAAATTTCTTAGACCTTGGTTAATGTCAATGCTATCCCAGTCAAATATTTATCATTGTTACACCAAAATCATCTGCATGCTTGTATAAGGGAAGGGAAGCAAGATGGCTGCAGCTTATTTATAGCATTTATTCATTCAATTATTTACATGATCCAATGCGGGTGCGAAGGATTCCACCCAACATGTGCGAGGCCATGGTTCGACTCTGGACCCAGCAAACCAGCCCTCCTATCTCATTGGTGTAAGAAAAATAGTACCAAACTTAACTCAAAAGGCTCTTTCTGACCAACTTGGCGCTGCCTTTGGTGTGAAGAGTTTGGATCTTTCTGGCAGAGTTGTCGCGGGATTCCATGCAAAATGGAACTGGCCAGCAATGGGCCATATTCATGTAGTAGAAAATGTACATTCTTTACGTGGTGAGTGAATCTACGCACAATCGGAAAAACTCCGAGAGCGATGAAGGCAAGGATGTGTGTTCACAAAATTGCTCATGCAAAAAAATGACACGACGTTGCACATTGTGACAATCCCAGCATTTTCTTCATTCGATTCTTTCACTCGTCTCTTTTACTTACGGGCGTTTTCGGATTTACTTGGAGGTTCAGCTGCCAGTAGAAAACCTTGGCTTCTTCATCACTGTCGAAGGGTGATGTTGAAGCTAATTTTTTCCAAAATTCTGTACTGCTCAACTCTAGTAGAGCATTTTAAGTCTTCACGGAGACAATCGCCAGGATTTGTTGAGCGGAAAAAAACTTTTTTTTTCTCTTTTTTTTCCACTTTCCAAAACTTTCCAGACAAGTCTGTGGGAATGGAGAACCACGGACCTTAGGTGTATTACATGGCATCTTCGAGCAGTGCACTTTCAACGTCCTTCTGTCACATTGAACGCGGAAGCTAATAAATTAAATATTAATCGCTGCACCTATATATTTGATAAAGTGGATCTTTTCGTATTATCGTCTCTCAACCTTAATTCCCTTTTATTTCCATAAATGGTTTCAATTGGGTTCATGTAGGTCAATGGATACAGACTATCTGCAGCACTCACAGATTCAGGTTGCTCGCTCGAGACTTCGCTTCAGGATCACCAAGCTCTCTATCCCTTCGGTATCGGAAAGTTTGTATCACAATCGTCTTCGAGGATAGCAGAACTTATGCAAAACATCAATAAGCCCGTGAAGTTTATTTTGTAAACAAAATATGCATTCAGTCTCCTTTACAATGATACAGTTGGAGTCTCGTGTTTTTCAAGAAGAAGGATTATTGATAAACTTTTTATGTTTTGTTGTTTATGAACAACGACAACCGACTTTCACTCACCATATGATAACCATTATCAGCTTCATGACCACCTTGTCCAAGGCGACAAAGAATTGTGTCAGCACAAAAGCCTCGGAACCAAGCTGTGATAGCGCAATCCCCAATGCTATGCAGAAGACGATGATTCCTGAAACGGTACTGATTTATGCATTAGCAATCTGAAGAGTCTCAAGAAAGCCCGCTAGGGTTTCTCGAGCCGTCACCAATGGCATCACCCTACCACTGTGGATCGGAGGAGGATTGACCGCCTTGTAAGTACGTTGCTACTAGGTCAACAATGTTTCCTAACATTAATTTAGCCGAATATGAACTATACACGGAATGAAAAATTAAGGACTCGTTAATTATAGTTTCTCGCAAAAGATTCTAAAATCGCTTAGCCTGAGAAATAAACTGAGTGGATAGGGAAAAAAGCGTTAGGCGTTGATCAATGTTTGAAGGATGTGTCATGCGTTCGATTTCATCAAACGCAGTAGAGGAGATTAGACACATACATGGCCTGTACAATAACTGTTGAGTGCCACAGGTCTATCAACTCAATATTTCTTCTCTTCCAGATTTCTGCTAGCAATTCGCCAACTACAGACAGTTAAAATGTCTGGTTTGTCTGAGATGAGGTATCGAATCAACAATCGTATGTGCATATAAGGGACCACTACGGTGCACCAGTCCTCATTGCACTGCTGAATAACATACTTTGATAAACAGCTCATCTCATTAAATAGTTTAGGTCACAATATTAACTGTGAGCCTAGGTCGAATAAAATAGTCGACACAGCGAGGTTGTGTCATCTTGAGCAATATTAGCCAAAATAAGAATTCCTCTATTGCTTAAATGAACAAGACGAATTAACTTGAGCACTATAACAACACTGATTAAGATCTATGCAAATAGAGAGTGATCTTCACAAAGGTCATGCTTTTAGAGCAACTAACCGAGCACATTGATGCCGTCTTTGTATTCCAGCACATGCTTCACGTAGTCAAAACTCCCATTGTGAAGCATCTTTAGGCTGATACTGTTGTTTATTTTCAGAAGCTTCGGGCGAACGGTGACGTACTTTGTCTGGGCTTGTTTAAATGTGGCCACCACAATGTTTTCCGGAAATGCGTTTCTAAAGAGCGAGTCCGTTTTGAAAATTTAAAAGTTAATTCCACGGGTAAAATCAGGAAAAACGTATGTTGACGATTTTTCCTGATGTTTTCAGACCAATTAAAAGAGTTTAATGGAAAGCTGAAAATCTAGCAGTTAAAAAGTGACTCTAAACGCGGTATTTGAAAATGTTTAGGTTTATGGAATAGGCAAACCTTAACAAATCGAGCAACGTGTCCACCGTGCTGACCGTCCTTCCCTCCGTACCTTCACCGAGGTCCTCCTTAATTTCGGGGTTACCCGGATGAATGGAGAGCACTAGTACGATTCCGGTCTGGAATTCGACTTATTACTCTGTTGCATTTATTATAATAAGTCATTGCAAAACAATGCTCTTTTTAAAATTTCTCGCCAAAATTTAGAGGCTTGTTTAACACCCGAGAGAAAGAAAAAGGTCAAACACTTTCCTATCACTACAGTTTCAACTTTCGAACCTGGCTAGAGTCTAAAGAACGAATGGATCCACTTTATTCCGAAATTATCCGAAACGACTGCTTACAATTACGGCAATAATCGTAGTCGTGAAATAGTAGGTGACCGCCAATGATCCTATTTTTCCAGATTGTTTTGCGCCTAGTTGTGCAAGACCTGAATAAAAAATCATCGAAAAGTCGATCGATAATCAGAATTAGACCACTAAGGGGCCCTTTCTATGAGCCCTTTTCCAGTTTAGTCCCATTCTACTAGTGTTGAAGAGTTTTTTTCAGAGATTCGCTAGGAAGATGATTGGCTGAAAGGAGAAAGCTGAAAGGTTCACAGGATCGACTTTCTAGTAACCTCAGCATTAGAACATGAATGTGTCGTTTTCTTGTTCAGCAATCGCGAGGTTTTTAAACAGCATACACTTACTTCTATAGAAAAACACAATACAATACAATACTAATAGCTTCTCGCAAAACCCAACACTTTTTACGTGACTTCCAATGAGGAAGATTAGAACAGATGATTATAGTCGCATATGGTTGATGACTGCCATCCCACATCAGAAATTGATGCGAACATACGGGGTCAGGTCGTGTATGACCTCTGGACATTCCTCCCTGTTATTCATTGTAGGGTTTTTGGCATTTATCCAAAAAGCTTCAAGAAGTTTTCGCGCTGGTGTTTTACTCTCCTGTGCAAGGATATTGACTTTTACTTCGAAATCGTCTCCGCTATGCTTTTGTACCCTATGCGTGCCTAGTGGGGTACTTCGTCTTAGTTTTCGTTTGCCATCTAGGTGTTCTTTTATACGGATACACAAAAGTCTGCCCGTTTCACCAATATATTCATCTCAGCAGTTATTACAAGACATCAGGTGTAACGTACCTGAACTTATGCAATCACCGTTCCTGCCATAAGGGCAAATTACGCAATTTGTTGTTTCACATAGACGGTCACACAGGCGGTTACGAACTAATTGACGACGTAGAGTATCCAGTGGTGTTTCAACTATTGCTACCGATTACTCTAGACCTGCCCTTTTTAAGCATCGTTTAATAGCTACGCTTACTTCATCGCTAATAAAAAGCAACATAAACTTTCTTTTCGCCAAGTGTTTCTCTTGGGCGCGTCACTCTCCTTCCAAACTTATCTCATAGGGTTACGACTTCGTAGCCATTGGAGATGGCTATTTACCGAGCCAAGTTGCGCGATTCTACCTTTGTTTCCTGCTTGTACGCACAGAGTTGGCTTTTGGACACATTTCTCTCAAACACCCTCTTTGTGTGTGAAGATGGGAAGAAAGGAAACGAACGAGGATGTTCATGTTACTTGCTTTTCGGTACCACTTTGTCAATTAACCGCTACTTGATAGGTTTATTTGAACGTTTGAAAACGGAAGCCAGTTTTTTCTCGGTTTCTCCCGAGTGAACCTTAGGTATTCAGACTGCTCGTTCAATAATTCAAAGCATTTGTCCATCTCCTCCTGCGTAGAGAAGACGACAAAACAATCATCTACATATCTGCAGTAGAGTAGTAGCTGGAGATTGAGAACAGGGGCTTCTATCTTAGACATAAACGCAATGGCAAGGCCTGGTGCCAGTCGCTGTCCCATTGCCAACCCACTTATTTGTGCGAAATATTTCCCAGACCATCTGTAAATGGAGCAGTTTAGGCACTCCTTTAAGAGAGCCATTAGCTGATGGATGGACAAGCCATGCATATTTGTTCTTCCTTCATGTTTAACAAGAAGTTGGAAGATGGCTTGCATTGCGGAGTCATTCGACACGTTGGTGTACAGTGCGGTAACGTCGAAAGACTCCACGCGTACGCGTTATTAGGAGACGTATTACGTAGACGTTCAGGGAACATATTGGTGTTTGTGAGGTGAGCTGGAATGTGGCAAAGCAACTGGGTAAGTATTAGGCTTAAAAAACAGGTTATTCTATCCGTTGGCCCGTCTACAGAATTGATAACCTTAAATGATGACGGATTGGTTGACGCAAGACCATCAAGTGATACCAACTTATGTGTTTTAATAAGTAGGTATAGGACGGGACATGTTGGTCTATCGATTTTAAAGTGCGAAATAACCGATGATTTTAAATCCGCAGCCTTTGCCACACTGACCCATTGATTGTTTCGCTTTCGGTGTTGACTTTTATATTCCTCTTCAGAAGATGGGCGATAGAAAGTAGCATCACTAAGATGTTCCTCTGTTATTTCAACATCCAGCTGGCGAGGAATAACCACGAACTCTCCCCCCTTATCACTAACAGACAACCGTTTTGCTCTCGAGTTTATTAATTCTCTAATTTCTCGCATGCCACATTTTTGCGCGGCTATAAGGTTAGAGATAAACTTTCTATCGCGGTAGTGATCAAGGGTCTTGAGAACGCCGTCCGAAAATACGCGAAATTTTAATGTTAATTCTATCGTTAGAAACGTGCTGTCTAAAAAACGGGAAAGGAGATGGTGGTAGTGTCGCCGCCTCTTGATTTTTATCTCTATTTGATGTTTCTTGTTTGGCCAGATAGTGGAGTCGATTTAGAAGCTCATAGAGGTTGCATGCTATCCTATGCAGGGTCGTTTTAGAATTAGGCTGTGATGGTTCAAAACTTGGGCCCAATTCTAATAGCGAACGCGCACTCTCAAGTATTGTTATGCCCACAATCACGGTGACCCTAGATTTTCTTGGTGAATTATCAACCCCATTTTGACTATTATCAGAAGCGTAAGGCATTCATTTGCGGTTGTTACTTGAAGTTGAGACATGTGAATTACCCAAAAAATTTTCGAATTTCCGTTGTAAGGTTATTTTGGCATTAGACCTGATAAAATCGCATATCAATATTGCCCACCAGCTATTCTCGTCCAAAGGCGATCCTCCAAATACAAAGCACAAAAATGTTCCTTCGTTGCACACTTCTTCATTCTGGCAAGCATCTCGTTCTGCTTGCTTCGTATTGCAGCTCGACGTAGTTCCAGGGTACCCCACTAGGCACGCATAGGATACAAAAGCATAGCGGAGACGATTTTGAAGTAAAAGTCAATATCCTTGCACTGGAGACTAAAACACCAGCGCGAAAACTTCTTGAGGCTTTTTGGATCAATGCCAAAAATCCTACAATGAATAGCACGGATGAATGCCCGGAGGTCATACGCGTCCTGACCCCGTATGTTGGCATCAATTTCTGGTGTGGCATGGTGCAGTCATTAACCATGTGCGACTTTAATCAGCTGTTCTAATCTTCCTTATTGAAAGTCACGTAAAAAGCGGTGAGTTTTTCGAGAAGCTGTTGACCGTGTAATTACCATAGAGTTTTTCGTCTTTTTGTGTTATTGAAGCGATTGGCCTAGTAGATTGTATATCAGTATATCTCCCCAGGCTCTGAAGAAGGCGATACTGCCGAAACTTCAGCTACTGTTGTAGTGTATTGTCTTTTTCTGTGGAAGTAAATGTATGCTGTTTAACATCTTCGCGTTTGCTGAACAAGAAAAGCCAACAGGATTGGAAAAAAGGCCTAATTGATGAATGTGCCGAAAAGTCGGCTGAATCCGTGTGGTCACATAAAATGACGGCTTACCTCTTAAAGAGTATTTTTGCTTCTACCAGAATGAGTTCGCTTTAAAAGAAAAAACTGAAGGGTTTAGACGAAGTTAATTGCACTCATAAATGAATCCTAACGCTAACCTGCGATTAGAGAACTAATAATAAGCGGTAGAATAATCATCTTTAACATCCTCATCAACAACTCTCCAGGGAAGCTCACCAGCATGATCGTCTGAATCGAATGTATTGGTAAAGGGAGAAACAGGACAAGAACAAGGAAGTTTTTTTTAAAACATTCACATCGCTTATTTGTCTCTTTTCATAACGTCTTCGTCACGACGAAGAAGGATAAACCGCCGAAACGTCAGGTATTGTATCCTAATAAATTCTATAACAGCAACCTCATGTCTGCTTATTGAAGAAAAGCATCGTCTTCGTCTTAGTTCTGCTTTCTAAATCTTCTTAGTTAAGACGAATAGATATACTAATCTTTATAAGACCCCATGATTTCAGACCGTTGTTAAATCATGTTTTGTTTTCTGATAGAATGAAAGAATTGACAGTTATGATGGTCAACTTCATGGGTTATCTAAAGGTCAATCACACTCTCATCACCTCGGAGCTCTAAGCAAAGCATTAATGTATAAGATAGGTTCGATACAGTTGGATCAACACCGAATCACATTTTGAAAATCTGCTTGCAGCAATCATGATTGTTCTATCTCATATGGCGCTGCCGTACGAGACTGATTTTATAATAGAATATCTTTTAGTAGAATACAAGCTTAGCAGATACACTCTACATCACTGTCACCTAGCCTGTACTCTCCAGTTCTGTTCCATATTTCTTCTCGCATGAACTATTCACTCTACACCTAATTGCATTTCTAAAACTTAAACAAATCTATTATATATCGCAGCGTGTACGACAATATTTCATTAGCGCCCAATGACTCCTTGAGAATCAGTTTACACTAACCTCACTTACTGCAGCCTCTCCTACTTCTCTTATGATGTTCATAATATCCAACTATCCCAATTTATGCAATGTTTCACAAAAGAGCACTTCTTAATCCCGTTTTTTCAATATCTCCTCAACTTATACAAGAGCTAATCACTTGAGGAGTCGCGCTATATTCTGCGCACTGAGCGATATTGGACTAATAAAATGGTTATGCTACCAGGTTCTTGGCACCTGAGCTATAATGAGGTTGGCAATTTTTGTTAATGACAGATCTCAATTTATTCATTTCGTTTAGATTCACCTATTTTAAGAAAATAAGACTTATTTCATTGACAATGTCAAAAGTCTTCTTTTTAGAAGAATTCTTGTCATTTCATCTTTTCTCTTCTTTTTTGAGAGACTTTTCTCTTCGCAAACTTTATAGTCTACCTTAGCTGGAAGGTCATACGGACGGATAACAAATCCAAGTAGAACACCGGCGAGAACAGATCCTATTGTCATAAATAGCAAAAGGTTCTCTTCCGTACACGTTACCGTCTGAAACCAACCAGAATTTAAGTCAAGTTTTTAACTGCTTTAAGGCTTTTTAAAGTCTTTTTAATACTTTAAAGCCACATCGTTTTGTGGGTGCGAAAAGTGCAGCCAGTGGAGATGCCGTGGAAAACACGAATATTCGCAGGTTCAACTGGAATCCTACGCAATGTTCTTACACCTCTCTAGGGTTACCAGATTGGAAGACTTGTCTGGTTAACACTAACTGTTGCACAAAAGCCGGTAAGTGCTTTTGTTGAAGAGGTGTCTTAGAAACTTTTTGATAGATCCTATCATCTTGCATTTTCTCTGGAATAGCAGAGGGAATGAAGTCGACCAACATCTAACAACTGCTAATGAAATTGAGGAGGTCTTGAACTAGTAGCCGCACCATTAAAAAAATGAATAAGCAAATAAATTGACTAACTTTTTCGTTAACAACATTTTTTGAACATAAAACACTTGGTTATATCGAAGCCTATTAACGAAAATTGCTGACGACCCTGTTCTGTTCCCATTTGACTGCTGTTGTACATTTTGGAAACCCTAGATAGCATTGCCTTGAAGTTCCCAAATAATCGCCGCCACGAACTTTCGAGAACTCTGCGTATAGGAAGAATGTTTCTCACCACATGAATAACTCTCTTTAAGGAAGGTGGCAACTCCCGACATATGCTCGTTCCTAGCTGTGCTTTCAAATGACAATATCGAACTTCTTACCAATCCATCGTTTGAACTTGCTGATTTGGCACTTTCTTTGACAGCCATTCTGGTTCAGGAGTCAGAAAGTTATCTTCGAAGTAAATTGTCTTTGCAACGATGACGGGAAGCAAAGGATCGTTTTCCAAAATGGGTCGACGGTCTCCAGAGGTGATGCTAGCAGCACCGGAAAGAGATGCGGAATATGCTGAAATGACCGAACACAAGATAGTAGACATAATTTGTTATCAGAAGTTTATCTGAAGTTGTAACACTAAAGTTTGATAACAGATATGCAATGCAAGTCGCGTATTGTTCTAGTTCAACCGAGGTTGATTCAATGCGGAAGGTGTTTTGTCTCACTTTAATGTTAAGCGCCCAGATCAACCGAGAACGGAAGGAGAGAAGCCTTGAGTGGCGAATGACATACAACTTCGCCGAAGAGCTTGAAAATTTAAGAGGCTCAAAAATCCAACTGTGATTCATCTTCCTAAGGAGTGATTGTGCGCCATCGTGCTGAAAAAAAACTTCCTTCGTCGAGTTTATACTCATTAAGAAGGGTTCAGGGATTGTAATATAACAAATGTGATAACTCATAAACCATTGGAGAACTACCGATAAGTACTTGAAAAAGTTATGAATTGAAAATTTGACCAACGAAAACGATTCCAACTTTTTAAAACTTTTTGCCCCAAGAGTAAAAATTTCTAGATAATCTTTTCTAATTCTATGCGTTTGGTTCTGATGAATCACTCAAGGATACGCTATACGTTTGACTTCGTCTAGCACCATAACAAGTCTACTTCAAATTACAACCACAATGGGGCTGAGATATTTACAAAACTCCGTACCACAGGTGTCTGCGCTGGAGAACGACTGTGCTTTTAGTCCTTCCAGAGGTCTTCCAAACGCGTTCACCACCACACCATGCGGGTCCTTCGTTTCGCCTTTCTGTCAGCTAGTTCTATCGATCTTTTGTCATCAGCATTCATTCTCAACAGGATTGATCTGGAGAGCCAAAAGTTAAGGTGAACGCGTTTGCTCCAGAAGGATAATAACGCGTTCGTTTCCCACCGCAATGCCTGCGGTCCGGAGTTTTGCCAATATCTCAGCGCCATTGTGGTTGTATTTCGCATAATACCTTGCCATAAAAAACTGTAGTAGGTAGCAAATAAAAAGTTAATATTGTGATTTTTACTTCGAATCTTCGAACGACCTCGAGGGAATGAAATATTTGACGCTCTCTGGGTGCGGATCGAGCCTGCAATCGATTCGTTGTATATTGCACCATTCAACAGCATTGCGCTACACACTCTCCTTAGTAAAATGAGTATTACGAAATATTAACAGGAGTGCAGTAGCGGCTAACATTGGCATCATATTTGAAGACACCTACACCAAATAATTCGTGAGCACCAGAGTTGTACCATTTCGTTACGATGTTAAAAGCAAAGCTTGTACCGTGTAGGAAAAGATATGCAGATTCTAATGACTTTCACCTCAACTGAAAATGCTATCTATAAAAGTATACATATTTTAATTTATTATTTACTGCCTGCTCTTTTTAACGGCAGGGTATATATTGCGAAATATAACTTCAATGATGCTGAGATATTTGCAAAACTACGGAGCGCAGGTGTCGGCGGTGGGGAATGAACGCGGTATTGTCCTTTCCGGGGAGTAACGCGTTCCGCACCACACCACACGGGGTTTCATTTCGCCTGTCTCTCAGCTAGTTCTAATAACTACGGTCCCAGCTTAATTGGGTTCGTTGCCAATTTCGCCTCCCAGATCATTCTCGCTGACTAGTGGTTGCTGTGGCAAAAGGTCGATAGAACTAGCTAAGAGGCAGGCAAAACGAAGGACCCGCATGGTGTGGTGGTGAACGCGTTACTCCCCGGAAAGGACAATAGCGCGTTCGTTCCCCACCGCAGAGACCTTTCGTACGAAGCTTTGAAAAAAAATATCTCAGCATCATTGAATTTACTATACGTATTGTTAGGGGTAAGGGTTCAGCATCTGAGCCATGAATTAACTAAGCGATCTTTGATACCCGATGTAACACATTAACCGTCTGTAAAGTTTCAAATTTTGGAATATTGGGAACAGTTTTCTGGAGCCTAGTAAGTAGCTGTCTAGCTTGGTTAAGGAAGTTAAATACTCTACATTTGAACATGACACTGTGGTCACAATCTTTGAGTAACTCCTTTATTTTACCACGATAGGTGTTTCGCTATTTCCCGCCGGCTGTAAGGAAACTAGTCACGCACACCTGCAAAAGCCCACGTCGGACACTGTAGCCGCGGACGTGTTGCCCGCCAAAATCCCAATAGACGTGATTTTCGCCTCTCCGACGCTATTTCCAGCCGGCTGTCATGGCTATGCTAGTGTGTTTCGATCCATTAAGATCCAATCGCGATCCAATCGATTCGGATACGTAGAGATCAGATCAATTAGTCAGAATCATATTAGTATGCGACGAAGTGTACGGTAAGAAAGAGCTTCCAAGCAGGCTAAAATTCGATAAAAATGGAATCCTTTTCTTGCCTCGTCCTTCTTTCACCGGCAGATTCTCGAACCCAATGCTATCTAATTGTCTCCAAGCATCGTAAATTAAGTGTGGCTTATTTCTACTGGAATCGAAGAGCTTTCGATAAGTGAGCGAGTCCCTACACCGAACAGAACTATCACGCAAATGAGACAAATGCAAGCATTACTCCCACGTCCGACTTTCTATTAACCTCGGCACTGATTGAACAATTCTTTCCACTTCTGCTCAGCAAACACGAGGTGCTATTCCACTTCCCCACTCACGTAAAAGCTGACGTTTCGGCGGATTTCGCCTTCCTCAAAGCCCCTTTCTATGAGTCTTCCACTGAGTATGTCGTGTGAAGACCAGCCGCACAGAATTCACATGGAAGCGTAATCTCTTTTTTTTAATTTTAATTTTTTTTTCTTGCAAGCATTGCTGTTACACTCTCGAGTCACAATACTGGCAGGTGGAGGAGGGGAGACACAGGTGAATTTTGTTCAACTGTGATATTTCGCGCTTACAAATCAGAACGGTTAAGTGATAAGTTGTGGACAATCATAAAAATATTCATTCACCGGATTACCTCAATCAGAACACTGGTTTACATCGAATCGACACTACCACAGAAAAAACTACACAAGCTTAACTGCAGATATCCTATAGTAAACTATTTATAATGTTACACGAAACCAGTAAATATGACAAATCGAGATAGTCATCGTATCAAGCTCATTTTTGAATCAATGGATACTCTTGACTTAAAACTGAGATATTGCTCAGGATGATTCAAATACGATAAATGCATTTATAAATGAATACTTTCTCAATTTCATTCATAGTCTCATCGTATCTTGTCATTTTTCGTCCGACATCGTTACGCTAGTATAAGTTCCATGCAGTGGCTGCTTATCTTCAGGCAGTTCTGAAATATATTGTAACAATAAACTATGAGTATTGAGGAACTTCAACATGTTTTAGAACAGCCATGACAATTCCCCGAAAATCTACTTACTAGGTAAGCGCACACCGTCACACCCAAGGTGGTTCCTAGTTTCGAAAAGCGAGCTGTCTTATTTATTATATTCATTTAGCCAGAGCTCCTCAATAGTCCGTTTCATGAAGGCTGTAATACAATCGTGGTCGTTGGAATGTGATTTGCAATAGATTGTTTATACTTTCAACACGTTCCAACGACCCTTCCCTGACTACCGCCTTTCTGAAAAACAATATGTTAAGATTTTCATGTTTTTCTTCTCCAACGAGCTATAGGAGGCCATAGAGCAGCTCTGTTGCTCGACAGGGTTAAATGGAGACTTAAGGACCTAGTGAACAGATGATTAACGTGATTAGAAGTAATATTGGTAATCTCATTCTTTTTGTTCTAAGGTAAAACATAGATGGTCATTAAGCGGATGCATCGTGTTCTCAGTGCCGCCGTCATGCGCTAACGTTTTCGTGTTCCCAAGAACTGCGCCAGTTGTTTTCTCCGTGAAGAATGGCCGCATGGCCACACGCGAGATTCTCTACTAGCGGGCACACGCGAGATTCTCTACTAGCTATAAACGTCTTCTTTTGAAGTCTACTTTCATTTGGATTGGGGGCATATTACGTCGTAGATGTCAGTCTACCAGTTAACAAGAAACCGGCAGCGGAAATCCAGTGATGGATTCCAAACATGTTGAGCAAATATGATGTTTATTATCACTAAAGAACCTAATCACAGTTAACAGTGGATGGACGTCTAATTGTGGAAAAAATGAAGATAAAAGGAGCAAAATATCCCCACTATCACTCCAGTCGTGGCGGTAAATAGTGCATGTAATTAATACTCATTTGTCAGAGCTCATAGCGTAACGTATCGCTAAGTTATTAGCAATCGTTTTTTCTTGCATCGTTATAAATTCTCATGAGATTTGGAGCTGCGGTTAGCTATCCGTCGATGTGGAGTGCCATGGCCGCACCAACAAACAAGTTCTTTCTTTTCCCAAAGAAATCCTCGGTTTTCCTCAATCCATATCTTTTACTGAATCCCTTCTGCTCTTGCGTTCTCCTCTATTAGCCTTTCCTATTTTCAGGAGAGAAAGACAAAGTGTGCAAGTGAATTGGAATTGATGAATCTGTGGTCGATCATCCCACAAGTTAACAATCGATGTACCTTGATTTATTGATAACCGTAACACATCTCAATTTATTGATGAACATATCATTCGTAGTGTTGACTCGATTTTCTTTACACCTTCTCGTTTAGCCTTAAAAATTTCTTTGATTGTATCTTACCCATTGAGAGAGTACGCATCGGATGAAGGCGATCGTGAGCGATGAGATCTTCTTTCACATAATGATAAACGATTCCGGCACCGAACGCATCTCCGAGCACATTGATAGAAGTACGAACACGATCTCTGCACAAAAGAAGAATTCGAACCACGTTAAGACATAAAAAACTGCTTATTGGTTTTTGGCTTAATCAATTAAAGTCGAAAAAATCATAAAACTAGAGGTCATTTGTAAATATAATAAGGCTGGTTAGTTCTTGGTTGTCAAACTACGAACTACACGGAGTTTTGCCACTCACCTTGGGCACTCGAGGTCAGAATGAGTTTGGTATTTTTGCCTGGTATTTGAGTAAAGAGTAAACCTATGCAACGGCGAAGTCTCGCTAGATTATTTGGTTACATTCCCGCCAAAAACATAAAAAAAAACAGTTATATTCTTTTCCTGCTTTGTGCGACTCCTGTACACAATGATAGCATCTATAGCTCACTGCTACCGCAGCGACGTATTGAACGATTACCAGGATCGCGGTGGTAAAAATAACTATAAAATAGCCGAGGCAAATATGAGCAGCATTTTAAACGTGCTATTTAAAAAAGAAAAATTTGGAAAGAACTTCGAGGTCAAGCTGGGAGTTATTACTGTTACACATTTCATTTTCCGGTGTTTTGTAATCGAGAAGAATTGGAGGACATTCAGCACTATAGCCTAAAAAGTCGCAGAGTGTTAACTTTTCACTAATAATTATTATTATTATTTTTTTCAAAAGTATATGACGTGAAGTACAAACCCTAGAATGTTGTGATATTTGCAAAATTTGGACCCAAGCAGATCGAACCCGTGATTACCCTTTCTTGGTGGTCACGCGTTATCCACTACACTACTGAGGCCCTTGCTTCACATTTCGTCCTGCAGTTCTAATATTTATGCATTCATAACCATATGGTTTATGATGAGTAACAATTATTTTGCAATGCAATGCAGTTTGACAGTTTTGCAATTTCGCGAAAATTGCAGAGCTCACTTACAGTAACCAGTCAACGGCGACGATTAACGATACGTCTTTGACTGGTAGTCCTACTGCTGTTAACACTAAGAGCATTGTCACTAGACCGGCAGATGGTACTGATGCTGCACCGATGGATGCAAGAGTGGCAGTAAGACTGCAAAAAAGTGATACTGAAGAGGATGATAAAAGACAGTGGGAATGCCTGTGGTGAATATGTGACTGACCTGACAGTGATCACTTGGGCAAATGTCAAATAGACACCATTCATTTGAGCGATGAAAATAGCCGCCACTGCCTCGTATAACGCAGTTCCATCCTTTATGGTAATGTTGCATTCTTTTACACTTATTTTCTATACCAATTTTTTCATTCCCAATTTCTTATAGTGCTTTTTTTCTATCACGCTATGATTCATCCTTTCCTTCTTGTGTGACAAAGTGGTGAATGTGTACTGTAGAAAGGCTGTAACAGCTAAAGGATAACCCAGTATACAACAGCGACGAACACTGAAATTTCTTAACAGTTTCCAAGATCGACTTTCTATTAACCTCGATAATGGATTATAAATCTGTTGTTTTCTTTTTCACAACAATCGCGAGGATGTTATTCAACACACGTTTAATTCCTCACAAATATAACACATACAACACAACGGTCACTGACGTTTCGGCAGTACCGCCTTTTTCAGAGCCTGGAAGGGTACACTAGTATGTAATTTACTAGGACAAATGCTTCAACAACGCAAACATAAAGATGAAAATCTAAACACTAACTGCACGATCACCGGGTTCTCGAAAAACCCACCGTTTTTATGTTTTCCGTTCTTTCCTGCTATCCCAATGGCGTGCAAGCAACGCATAGGATTCAAAAACGTAGGGGAAAAAATTTTGATGTAAAAGTCGCTATGATCGCACGGGAGACTGAAGCAAAAACGCTCAAATTTCTCGAAGCTTTTTGGATAAATTCCAAATCCGAGAACGGATAGCAGGGAAGAATGCCCTGAGATAACGCGTAAGATCTAGCCCCGTATCTCAGAACTGATTTTTAATGTGGGGTTGTGCAGTCGTCAACCATACTCGACACTAAGCGACTGTTCTTCCTTGGTGGAAAACAGTTAAAAAGGGTGGGTTTTTCGAGAACCTGGTGATCGTGTGGTTACTGTTCAGATTTTCATCTTTCTGTTTGAGCTGTTGAAGGTTTTAACCGAGCAAATTACATATTAGTGTACCATTCCAAGCTCTGAAGAAAACGATACTGCCGAAACGCCAGCTACCGTTGTGTTGTATATGTTATATTTGTGAGCAATTAAACGTGTGCTAAATAACAACCTCGCGATTGCTGTAAAAGAGAGAAGAGCAGGTTGAAACCTCTTTTAAACCTGTTAAAATCGAGTTAGGTGAAAAATCTGCAGGTATTCAGGCTTATTCTTGTTACTGAATTATGACCAAAATGCCTGATAGAGGAATTCTCTCCTGGTGTTTGAAAAATTGTTAAATGAAAAGAAAAATCTTGCCCTTTTCACATTCTCGACATCTTCATACAGAAAGAGAGAAGAAAAGTTTTTTTGAAAAGAAAATAAAGACAAACATAAAGACAACGATTAAAGTATAAAAATAAAAACATTATAAAAGGTCGTTCAATTACCCAAGTTTGAAATAAGTTCACTGTACTTATGATTGCAGAATCATACCATGTTGATGGTAGCACCGACAGGAAGTACAAAACGTGTAACTCTTCGATCAACGCCAAGATTTTCCTCCAGGCAATTGTAAGTGATCGGAAGTGTCGCCGAACTTAATAGCTACGAATCAAAGATTAACAAAAAACTATAAATCTCACAAAGAAGGCTAGGTAGTATTTGCTAATATTCTTTACAAAAATGACCTAGAAGCGGTTCCAAGAGCTGTGATCCAGGCTTGAAGAAGTCCACGCATGAATGAGTACGGATTGGTTTTCGTTGTTATGAAGAAAAGAAGTGGAAGCGAAATGAGTGAGTGAACAGCTAATCCAGCCAAAACCTGACGGAAACGATTATTGGACAGATATTTTCCCAAATTCTTTCACGTGAATTTTTTTCCTTATTGCTTAAAAAATGAGTAAACTTCAATTGGACTGTTAGCAAATGTTTTGCAATTTAGTGCGCTGCTGAAGAAAGTGTTGAGCGCTAAAACCTTCTAAGCATGCGGTAAAATACTAATGTGTCTGTGCACCTACGCTCAAAGCTTTCTGATATTTTAAAGGTAAGAACGGAAATTTCGTTAAAAAATGTTCGCAACGTAATGCTTGCTTTTTCTGTACTGCCTACTACAAATTTTCACGGCGGGGTATTATGCGAATTTAACCACAACGATGCTGAAATATAAGAGATAGAAAACTAGCTGAGAGAAATGCACAGCACGGGTCTCCGTGGTGTATTGTGTAATGCGTGTGCTTCAGAAAGAAAAATTGCGGTTCGATCTGGCCAGGGGTCTAAGTTTTGCGAAAATCTCAGTATCGTATAATTTGCAATATACTTCTTTTGAGGACGAGGAGTCAATAAAATGTACAGTATGGCAGTTAAACAAACTATTGGAGGAGCTCTCATACAAAGCGCTTTCAACACAAAAAATTAGGCCATTATAAACATCAATACGCGGGTTGTGAGAGTACTGAGAAGCAGAAGAAGAATTGCAGCCCATGGCATCGTGAGTCTGACCTTTCTCACTTCTTCAGGACTTCAACCCTCACACGATTACGGAAATTTGAAAAACAGTACAAACTTGAATGAGATACTTTATTTGTTTAATGTACGGAACCAATGCATTATGAACGGTGTCATAAAGGAAATCTATTACCTATCAACTTATTAACATAATTTTTTTGTCTTCCCAGAGAAATCTGATACGAATTTGCTAACTTCGTAGAAAAGGAAAACTTAGCTAATCTGGTAGATGTGATCGAACCAACGACTACATGCATATTCCCTCTGAGCGCCACCGCCCCAGTACCGTAAACAATCAAATTTTGATCAACAACAAATTGGAAAGGCAACGCACCGTAAACATATACATGGCAAGCATTCGTGCTGTGTCAGCGAGATCATGGATTTCAAGAATTTTTCCCATGATCAAGCACAAAATTCCAAATGGAGAGTACCTGAAAAGTGTCCTCAGCTAGAAAAAATTCCGGCAATTAAATACGTGGGTAGTGAAAATGAACATTTACTGAAAATTGAACAAATTTGCATTTTAAAAAATCGACAACTGAGCTCACTTCTTAGCAAAAAAAAACCTGCTCCTTTGATATTGGTGAAATCTTAAAAAGGCAAAACCATCAATCTTATCTGTATTAAAGTATAGAAAAATTCTACTCAGGTATGTTTGTAGTAACGAGAGAATAAAGAAAGAAGGGCGCATAACTTCGCCTTCGCCAAGAAGGAATTCACACAGAGTTACAAAGGTGTTGTGCCCTGTTTTAAGATATTATAGGAGTGTTACTGCACTTTTTTGGCAGTAGACAATCATATTTTATTTTTTTAATTGTTCGACATATCTGGTCTTCATATCCATTTTACTGATCTCACCGCTTCTTTCATTTGATACACTTTCTTCCATCCATCACCCACGCAGGTGTTTGGAATTTTTGGACTCGGTTGTTCTTTCAGTATTTCGTCTTTTCCGTGAATTGCCTTGAATGTGGTTGGATCGATTCCTCTAGAAACTTGAGATTGCCGATCTAGGCTGATAACAGATCCTCATCACATTCAGTCATAGGCCTTTGACGATTAGAAGGATTGACTTAGTCGCGTAGAAGTTTGACAACAACTTCTCCACTTGCGATGATACACGCTTCCTTGGTTCAGGTCAGGGTTCATCTAACAATTTCTAAGCGCAGCGCACCCTGCTTTTCTTTTGTGGCAGTGAAATCGGAGCGTAATAAATAAAACATAAGTGGTAATCAATGTGCGTTTAATTATATGAATCCATTTTCAACTGTACTTTTTAAATCGCAAAAAAACGGAGCTATTTAGCCGAAATGACTACCAATTAGTTAACAATGCCATGCAAATAACTCTATGGGCAATCCGGAAGCGCATTAAAAGGAAACATCCCGTCTGTTTCTCTTTCTCGTCTGAACCGAACTGCTTTGATTTATTACTAACATCCGCAAAAAACCAAAATTTTCAGTAATGGAACAAAACGATTTGTTTTTGATGGCAGGGTGCTATATGAAATACAACTACAAGAATGCCAAAATATGAGTAAAACTCTTAATCTTAAATGGGCCTCAATTTCTTTACGTACTATACACTAAGCGAGGCCTTTGCTCTGCTTTTCTTTCAGCCGGTTTTATACAAAAACGGTGCTATCAGCAATAACCCGTCAATGGGAATGATCTGGAGAGCACAAATTTGCATAGAATCCAGTTAAGTTGAAACTGTAGTCGAAATCACAATGTTTAATTTCTTACCCGTACCCATTATTTCTTTCTCATAAAGAACATGTTACTAGTGGTTGCATTTCATGTAATACTCTGCCATGAAAAAAACTGGCTTTAAATAAAAGGTTAAATTCTTTGTATTCTTGTTGAGCAAACGCGAGGTATTATTTTACTCTTTATTCACGAATAAGCTGACGATTAGGCAGATCTCGCCCTCCTCAGAGCCTGGAAACGTCAAGTTTACAGCAATCTATTCGGCCAAACACCTCCATAACCAAACAGTGAAAACGCTAAACCAAGATTTCAATCACATTGAACACAGTCTTCTTTGCACACTAATCACTTTCCGTGAGGCTTCCACTGAGTGTGTCGCGTGGAGACCAACCGCACAGAATTCACATGGAAGCGTAATGTGCCCCTCCCGCCAGAATAACAGGTTTATATACTGTCCAATATTACGGGTGATAATGAAGCATTCTTCCCTACGGTTCATTTTCGGATTTCTGGAATTAATCCAGAACCCCTCGAGAGTTTTGCGTGCTCGTGTTCTCGATTCTTGCGCGAGGATCGTAACCCTTACTTCAAAGTCGTCCCCATTATGTCTCTGGGTCCTATGCGTGTCTAGCGCGGTATTTGGTTTATGTTTGCCGGCTAGGTGTTCTTTTATGCGGACACAGAGGGGTCTGCCCGTTTCGCCAATTTAATCGTCTCCGCATACCTTACAGGAGATCAGATACACTATACCCGAGCTCATACAACCACTGTCTCTACCATTGGGGCAAATTATGCAATTTTGCGTTGCACATAGACGGTCATATAGGCGGTTACGAACTAGCTGGCGCCAAAGATTACTCGGTGGCATTTCAACTATGTTTACCGAATTTTCTAGACCAGCCCTTTGTAAGCAGCATCCTATAGCTGCACTTACATCATTTGAGATGAAGGGTAGGATAAACGGGACCTTTTTATCTCTAGAGTTGTCGTGGGAGCCTCCAATTTTTTCTACACCTATTCCGAGCTACAGTTTCGTAGCCATTAGAAATGGCTATTTGCCGTGCCAAGTTCCGGGACTCCTCTCTCTGCTATCTTCCTGTGCACACGTTGGTTGCTGTTCGAAAGCGCTTTCTTACAAGCGCTTTTTTCGTGTCAGAGGGGTGAGAAGAGAGGTAATGAACCAAGATGTGTTTACTACTTGCGTAGCCCTTTTCAGACAATCTGAAAATTTAGCCACTCAACCATTTTTCTAAGAGTGTCATCAACTGCTCAGTCTAGAAGCCATACATGTTTATTTCTCCTTCGTGTTGTGTAAGGAGTTCGAATATGGCTTGCATTGCGGAGTCATTCGACACGTTTGTATAAAGGGCAGTAACGTCGAAGGACACCATTACGTACGCGCTGCTGGGTTGCGCAGTACGTAGACAATCCAGAAACATCTAGGTATTCGTAAGATGGGCTGGAATGTGTTTCAACAACTGGGTAAATATTAGGGTTAAAACCACGTTATCCTATCCGTTGGGCCGTCTACCCAGCTAGCGATAGGTCTTAGCTTAAACAATGATGGATCGGTAGACGCAAGATCATTGCTGGATACCAACTGATGGGTTTTGATAAGTAAGTATAAGACGGTATACGTTTGTAAATCAACTTTGATTTGAGAGACAACTGATAGTTTTAAACCAGCAGCCTTCGCCATTTTGACCCATTCGTGGTTCAATTTTAGACACTAACTTTTGAACTCCCTCTCAGATGATGGGCGATAAAGTGAAGCATTCAAGATGTTTTTTCGTTATCTCATATGTTTTTTAACCTTATCAGCTCCCGTACCTCTCGCATACCACGTTTTTGGCACTTCAGTGAGGTTGGATCTGTATCTTTTCGCGCGATAGTGATTAAGGACTTTGAAAGTTTCATTCGTGAACATCCGAAATTTACCATCAACTTCTTTATTGGGCTCTTGTTGTCTAAAAAACAACTGAGGAAATGGTGCTATTGGTGGGGCTACCACTTGGTGTTGTTCGTACCTATTGTGCGTTTCATCTCTAGCTTTCTTGCGAAGTCTATGTTGAAGTTCGTGTAAAGTACTTGCGACCCTACGCAATGTTACCTTAGAAATGGGTTCCGATGATGAGAAACTCGGCCCCAATTCTAATAACGAGCGGCTGAACATCAAAAAATCACTTATTTTTGTGATTATTATTATTTATTATTTATTGATTTGTGATTATTTTTGATTGTGATTATAACTAAGCCTCAGCTTAACTGGGTTCAATGCCGATATTGGCTCCCCAGATCAATCCCATTGACGGGTGATTGCTGATGGCAAAAAGATCGATAGAACTAGCTGAGAGACGTGCAAAGCGAAGGACCCGGATGGTGTAGTGATGAAGTGCGCTGCTCCCCGGTAAGGACAACAGGGCGTGTTCGTTCCCCACTGCATACACCTGTGGTCCGGAGTTTTGCAAATATCTCAGCATTTCATACTTATTTTTGTATTTTTCTTTTTTATTTCTTATTTTGAGTCCTCGATATCATTGTCGTTGACGGGTTATTGCTGATAGCGCCGTTTGAAAAATGAATTGAGTAGTGAAATAGTTGACTTATTTTAGCAATCGCTTTCAATTTCTACGACTTAGCTATAGCTATATGCTTTACACTTACCCTCCGTTATAGCTATAGCTATAACGGAGGGTAAGTGTAAAGCAATGGCTAGAGATGCTCTGCAGAATACACAGAACCATTCGCTGATTCAATTCCGAGTCCTCGGTTTACTAAGCCATCGATCCCCCTGGGTGAAAAAATTGGTAAGAGACTTATGAGGGAGAATGAAAACACTGACACAATGAGTCGACGAGCCATTGCAAGTCACTGTGAAAATTAAACATGCATTCGATCACCACTGCGATTCTATGAATAGGACAATGCGCAACGCATCATGCAGTGACTGCTCAGAACTGAAAACTTTATCCCTTACTCTTTACGAGCCACAACCAACTTATTTCACTCACCACATGACAGTGATCATGAGTCTCATAATCACTTTATCCATGATGACAAAGAATTGTATCATCACATCAGCTTCAGCACCAAGCTGTGATAGTGAGATTCCCAGAGCAATACAAAACACGATTATTCCTAAAATAGTCGGCTTTATGGAAACATGGAAGCTTTCACAAACAGCTATTATAATTCACAAGCATCGTTGTCTTTTTTGACGCACCATGTAACCAGATAAAAGAACCACTCATAAATAACCGTTTTGCCAACAAAAAAATCATGGGGTCATTTGGTGCCATTTCCATACATTATCATGGATTCTAAGAAGATAGCATCATTTTGATTCACTTATTTGAATACTTGGACGGCCTTTTCCAGATTGACTCCACAGACATTTGAAGAGGTCGAAACCATGGAGTATAATGGAACGAACAAGATAAGCTACTGCTTGATTCCATCACGGCGAGCACAACCATTCATGTTTAATGACAATTCCAGAAGATTCGGCCAAACGCTAGACATTGGATCTTCCCTATGAAGGAGTAAAGATGTAGACTATCTCAAAGTAAATCGAAGATTTAGCCTAACCGATGTCCTCATTGTGCCAAAACTCAGCACGGAATCAGATCAGAACACCGCCGTCTTCGTGGGAGTTTCTATTTTTAGAAGAGAGAGAAGAAAGCAGCTCGAAAAACAACCGACTCCGAGCCCATCCTTTCGACTTCACGATTCTTCCTGCTTTGCATGCCTAGGAGAGATGGTTGCCACGTAGGCAGGATGGAATATCACTCAGCGTTAAAACGAGCCTTCGAAAGCAGGATGATAGGAAAATCCCGTCTCATACAAGTGCGGGAGAGGTTTCGAGGCTCCCACCTTCGCCAACAATCAAAAATCAAGGACACCGTTTTGTACGTCAAACTGTAGAAGATGAGGTGGTCCTTAATGCGTCATAACTACAAACAATGGCGAGAAGCCGTTAGTACGTGGATTTCGCGGGATATCAAATACACAGTGTGAAGGCAATCGACCCACTGGTCGGAGATCTTCAAGACAAGCACAGAGGAAGGATATCACACTTAACAAGTCCTTGGAAACGAAATTCACTGGGCTACTCTTGTGCACGACAAGGAGCAGTAGAAAGATTATTGTCGTGCGTTCAAATTACTCGACAACCGACAAAACGGCATGTAATGCAAATAATTTTGTATTCAGCGTATTTTAGTATTTTTTGCATCAGGCAGCTTCGAACGATAACCAGAACTTCATATATTAACAATCGGTAATAGTAAAAAACTAGAAGTGGAAGAACGGTGAGTTTTTTAAGCGATGCACCTTATATGTTGTGCAAATCCCACCTAATGTCCCATTCGACTCCATTTCCACCACTATTTATCTAAGAAAATCTTTGAATTTTTCACCAGGATTTGTCAACTGTTTGACGATTTATTTATGAGATCTTATAAACTGATCTTCTTAAGCTGACGCGAGGTTGGTACAGATCTTCGTCGTCGTAGTCGTTGTTTTTGATGTTATTGATCGATGGCTGACGTTTCGGCGACTTCGCATTCCTCAGAGCCTGGACGTACTTAATGTTAGAATACTTTTTATTATTCGGTGGAAAAGAAGGTTAAAGTATTAATGAAGATCAAACTTTCAAATAGACCAAAAATAAAAATTGCCATTTCCAATGGCTACGAAGTAGAAGCCACTCGGGTTAGAGGAAAACATTGGGTAGTTTCCCAAAATAATATTTCAAACGAAAGTAGGATCCTCTTTAATCTGCCCTTCATATCAAATGAAGTAAGTCACGCCATTAAAAAGTGCCTAAGAAAAAGTGGTCTTGAAAATTATGTAACGATTACTGACATCCCACCCAATACCCTACGCTGCCAGTTAGTTCGAAACCGTCTCTATGATCGTTTGTGCAGCTCAGAAAACTGTATGATCTGTCCCAACGGGAGAGATGGGGATTGCATGAGTTTAGGTATAATATACTTGATCTCATGTAATGCATGCGGCGAGGAATATATCGGAGAAACGGGTAGACCACTTTGTGTCCGCATAAAAGAACATCTAGATGGGAAAGCTAAAATCCGTTTAAACACCCCTCTAGGTACGCATAGGGCACAAAAGCACAACGGCGATGATTTTGAAGTGAATGTGCGGATCCTGGCGCAGGAATCAAAAACATCAACGCGCAAAACTCTTGAGGCGTTTTGGATAAATTTCAAAAATCCAAAGATGAACCGGAAGGACGAATGCCTCACTATCACGCGTGACCTGGGGCCCTATTTCAAAATGATATTTTGACCCCGGGGCGTGTCTTGCTCGCGTCTCCACGTAAACTACGTGTCGGCCAGTCCCGAACGTAACGTCACGGTGAGTGACCTTTCTGTTCAATATGGCGTCTATTTGAAAGTTTGATCTTCATTAATACTTTAACCTTCTTTTCCACCGAATAATAAAAAGTATTCTAACATAAAGTACGTCCAGGCTCTGAGGAAGGCGAAGTCGCCGAAACGTCAACCAACGTTCAATAACATCAAAAACAACGACAACGACAACGACAACGAAGACCCGTACCAACTTCGCGTCAGCTTAAGAAGATCAGTTTATAAGATCACATAAATAAATATATCAACTATCTATGCCGAGGTTCATAGAAAGTCGGTCTTTCGAGTTATTAAGAGATGCTTGACGATTTTTATCTTTCGAATGTTCTTTGATGCTAGTAAAGCCAGTTCTCCTTGGAATGCTAGGATGGCGCCTACAGTGTTCATGGACTCTTCATCACATGTAACCGTCAGCTTTTGAAGATTGGAGAGTGTGACCCTGATTTCAGACAAGTATGTTTAATATCTCGTATGAAGTGCTGAGATATTTGCAAAACTCCGGACCACAGGTGTATGCAGTGGGGAACGAACACGCGCTGTTGTCCTTACCGGGGAGCAGCGCACTTCACCACTACACCATCCGGGTATATTTCACAACATACCCTGCCATTAAGAAGAAAAAGGCAGTAAATAAAAGAGTTAAGATTATGTTTAATATCCTCAAAACTGTTTACCTCCTCATCGTAGCTAGAGGTCATTCCTTGGTGTCGGGTTGCGATACACAGCGAAGGCTTTCATCCCCCAAGATAGCCTCCAAGGTTGAGAAGGAAACCAGTGATTCCATCAAGAAGCCTAGCCAAGAGTAACTCAATACCAGGATCTGCCATCGTCCTGGCATCAAGCTGCTGGCATGGTGGCAAATCTCTCTTTGATTCATGACGGTGGCGGCTGCCCGTGGTGGTGACGAGCTGAGGCAGACTTTTGCTTGGCTGACCTTGGGACTCCAGGGAACCACAATGACTAAGCCAACGAAACTCCGAAATAATATAGATTGTGCTGGGACCTGCACAAACGGGAAGGATGGATCATCCAAGTATGCAAGGAACTATGTTCAATATTTTAACCCCAAAGAGATGGAAGTATAGTTAACCTATGTTGAACTCGAACTAGAGAATTATGTTTATTGAACGACATCATTACCATTGCACTACCCGTGCTCCAATAATGAATTACTAGACAAAAGTTAGACTTTGTATGCTATACATAGTGCACGATGCCTTATTTTCGCTAATCAGAAATAAACTTCGTTAACTGGAGGTTCTGAGAAGTTGAAAACTCGAAATATTTCTCTGTGAGAAATTGCTTTATGGTTTCAGGAAAATGTAATGAGTTTTCTAAAATGCTGTCTTCGTTTTAAACCAGTTTTAACACCGAATTTTCAAAAGAAGCTTAGTTTTTATACTAGTTGAACAGGAGAACTTGCATCTGTTTGAAAAAATGTCTGGATTCTGATAGTTTTATTCTAGTTTTATTCCAATTCGTTTATTATTGTGTGAGATATACTTGTTGAAAGATATAACTATCTTCAGAGTTGCATCAACATAGAGCAAAGACCATTCAATAAAAGCTAAAAGGATAAAGCTGTCGCCGTTGATCAATATCTAAGAGATGCGCCGTACATTCGGCTCCATTAAGTTTAGTTAGAGGCGATTGAATGCATACCTGGGCAATACAATAACTCGCGGTGGACTATTGATGTATTTAGTCAGTGTTGCCATCTTCTCACTCAGGTATGGTACCAATCTGCCGGCCATCAAAGGATAGCAAGGTTTAATGAGCTCGGGGCGCGGGTTCGAACCCATGTGGATTGCTCGCATCTCTAACCACTGCCCCACACGTTCAGCAATGATTATTCATTATCACCTGTATCACCTGTAATCCCATTGATCGTCGAGTGACTCTAGCGGGCGCCAGTAAATCTTCCACTTTTACCTGTCGCGTGTAAGAGTAGCCCGGTGGGTTCTGCTCGTTCTAGGGATTCGTCAAGCATCATATCTTTCTTCAAGGACGTTTGTGAAAAACTCTGACCATCGGGTCGGTGGTCTTCCTGCAGTACGTTTGACATCCCAAGAAATCCAGTCACTAACGGCTTTTGTCCATCGGTTGTCATTCATACGCATTACGTGTCAGGCCCACCTTATCTTCGACTGCTTAGCGTACAGAACTGCATCTTTGATTTTTGATCGATGACGCAGATCGGAGCTTCGAATTTCATCCCTTAATTGTGTGAAACGGAATACTCTTAGCATCGCCCTTTCGACTGCGCATTCGGTAACACTGAGTGACCTTTCATCCTGCTTATGCAGTGACCAGGTTTCTGGCGCATACTTTAAAGTAGGAAGTACCGTTGAGTCGAAAAGGTAGGCACGGAGTCGGATGTTCTTTGTTTTCTTCATTACATTCTCGATGCTCTTGAAGCTCCCCAAGCCGCTCGTTTCCTTCTGCTCAGCTCTGTGCCTAGGTCCTTCATCATATTGATTTCCCGACCTAGATTGACATAACTGCAGCATTCGGAGATATTCGTTCCGTTGAGCGTGAATAGGGCATGCAAAACCAATCCGTCCTTCATAAACATCGTTTTTGTGAAATTTAGTCGAAGATCAATCGTTTCACAGGCTTTATCAAGGTCGTCGAGCATACGTTCCGCTTGGCTAATGTTTGGTGTTATGAGGACGATGTCATCAGCAAAGCGAAGGTGGTGTAACTGCTGACCATCGATTTTCACTCCCATATTATCCCATTCCAATGCTCTCATGGAGTTCTGGAGGGTGGCGGTAAATAATTTTGGTGAGATGATATCGTCTTGCCTAACTCCTGTTTTGACGTCAGCGTTAATATCGTTGTAGAATGGTGATATCTTGGTTGTAAAATTTTTGCACAGCTCACGAAGAGTCTTTATGTACTGAGTAAGGACTCTTTGACCATCAAGGGCTTCCAAGACTACGTCTATCTCAACTGAATCAAAAGCTTTCTTTAAATCGATGAAAGTGAGACAGAGCGGTCTTTTGTACTCTCGCTATACTTCAATGAACCGTGTTACCGTGTGGATGTGGTCCATCGTACTAAATCCTCTTCGAAACCCTGCTTGCTCACATTTCTGTCCTTCGTATAGTGTTCTGTCATTTCTGTTTAGGATGACTCGAGTGAAAAGTTTGCAGACTACAGGCAATAAGCAGATTGGGCGATAGTTGCCGATATCGCGCGGGTCTTTCATTTTTCTTGAACACAAAATTCTTAAACAATAACACTGTCTTGCTGGTCTTCCACTGAGTAGGGACCTTGCATTCAGACAGGTAAGGTGTGAAGAGCCGAGCTAGTGTGTTTACGAGAACTGGCGGAAGGTTTTTCAGGTGTTCGGATCTTATTCTGTCCGGATCTGGAGCTAATCGATTTATCACCGACTAAATTGCATGTCGGATTTCCAAAGGGAGAACCGGTGATACAACATATCCATCCTCCTTTACTTTATATAACGGAAAGTGGACGTGGCTACCGTAGCGATCCGAGTAGTATTCGTGAATGATTTTTCCGTTGCCTTTCTGGGCGCTGTAACTGTTCCGTCTGGGCGCCGGAGAGCAATCATTTTGGTCTTGTAATTGACGAAGTTTCGGTGCGCCTTGCGAATGCCTTTCACAGCCTCTGCAGCTTCGACTATTACTGCTGCTCTTTTCTCTTTAAGGTCTTTTTTTATCCCCTGTCTGCATTGTTTTGCAAGTTCGGACGTTAGTTCGTAGTTATCTGCAGCCTGTGTGATTCCAGCTGGTGTATTAGATCGAGTGTTTCTGGAGACAGACGTCTCTTGGTGACTTTCGAGCTCTGAGCTTTCATAGTGCTGGCGTAAAGATGTTGAATGAGCCAATCGTATTCTTCGTCAATGTTATCGACAACGGCATCTTCCCAACAGCGGACTAATGAATTGAACAAGTCCCACTTTGCGGTTGTTTTGGGACCTCGGTTTTGGAATTTAGCGGCATTTTCTCCTTTCCGTAAGAAATTGAATCTTGCACGAAGGAGACGATGATCTGATCCCGTGTAGAATTTTGGAAGAACAGCGATATCGGTTTGGCAAAACCTTCTATTTAATATGACGTGGTCTATTTCGCTGTGGTACTCTCCACTGAAAAAAATCACGTCCAGCGCTGAGGGTGGGGCTTTTGGAATTGCGAGTTACCATGGATTGTCTTGGTCGCCATGATAAACTCAGATGGCCGCTCACCCTGTTCGTTCCATTCTAATCCGTGAGTCCAAATGCTACGTTCCTCAGACTTTCTTCTTGCTCCAATCTTGGAGTTGAAATCTAAAATGATGACCTTGAGGATTGTGTGGTCTTTTTTGTAGATCTTGTCCAAGATAGAACGCTTTGACATCTTCTTCGTCATAGTTTGATGTGGGCGCGTAAACGACGAGGATTGTCAAAGCCGGAATTGTGCCACGTTTTTTAAATCGTAAACGTCCGATTCGGGTTGTAAGTTTTTCGAATGAAATGATGTTCATCGACAAACTCGTGTTGACGAGAACGCCGACGCCGCCGACTCCTTTACTGCCGCGTGGTCCGAGGAAAAGTTCTTCTCCGGTGTTAGACGCTGTTGAAAGGCTGGTGTCTTCTCGTCTCGTCTAGGCCGATGACGTCGTACCTTATCGTTCTTGCTTGCATGAGCAAGTTTTTTATCGAGGACTCGGATGCAAGTGCACGTGCATTGTAGGTGCACATCGTCGCCATAGTTCTTTGTAATCCAGCCAGCTTCCATTGGCCCTGAGATTTTAGCAGCCTCTCTGTACTCGTTCTACTCAACGCTGCCGATTGGGGTCTCTTTCGGGGTCAAGGAATAAAGCCCGTTTCCTTTACTGTTTTTATCTTTTTGATACCCTCGTATAGCTTGTTGGGCTCTGAACGTGGGAGCTGGGTATACTCACGGATAGCTTACCAGGCTTTCCCACAGTGGGTATGAAACTTATTTCTTGGAGGCGACTCCTTACTGCTTCTTGTATACTTCCTGGTCTCCTGATTGCAGGCTTTTGGCCGAATTGTCTTGTAGAATGCAATCGGCGTAAGCAAGAACGCACCCACACACGCATGCATGAATACGCCTAGCAAGTACAGAAAGTATGTGCCGAATCAGGGCACCAGAAACAGGGAGTCCAGCCCCTGGATCCACCTGCGTCTCTGGGAAGCAAAGGTCGCTTTTCGTCCGCGATTAACCCCCTATCCGCCACCTGTGGACGCACCACGTAGCTTCGCGACTAACGGGCTCGAGATCCCTCATGTGAGGGAGATCCGTGGGTTATTCAGTTGGTCAAAAAATTGACCACCTCAGTGATTTTTAGAAATGTCTATAGCTGAGATATTTGCAAAAATCCGGGCTGCAAGTGTTTGAGGTGGGAAACGAACGCGGGATTGCGCTTTCCGGGTGGTAACGTGTTCGCCACCACACCATATGGGCCCGTAGGTTTGCAAATATCTCAGCATAACAATGGTTGTGTTTCACATAATACCGTGCTGTGAAGGAATTCCGGTGGACAGCAAATTAAAGGCTAGAAATTTCTATTGTTTTCATCAAAGAAATCAGAGCCCTTGTCCTTTCACATATAGTGCAGGCCAACTTGCCTCGAAGCACCTACGTAGCTTGCAGTACAGCTCAAGCATGTGAAAAAGCAAAAGATGAAGCTTTCGGTTCGGGTATTTTAGAAGAGGCTGCATGAATAATCTTCCTATAGAATAAATTGGAAACATATGTTATTAATATGTAATATACATTATACTATAACGATACACTAGCCTTCAGAACTCTAGTAATTAACCCAATCCAATGATAAATTACCGCATTGAGTGGATCAGTCGAGGATCCCATGGATCAACAACTCTGTCCGCAAGTTGTGTCAGCTTTTTCGACCTCCCAGGTGACACCTCACTGAGAGCATTGAACGAAGTAGATTTTTTCTTATAGCACAAATGGAAGTGCTAATAGCTCAATGCAAGAGATGTTAGCCAATAATAATAAGGACCTGGTTCGACACCGCTTTAGGATACCGAAGCCTTCTATCCTTCTGGGATCGTGGAATTAGGACAATACCTGTCTGGGAAGGCCAATCTTATCTGCCAACGCTGATGATGAAGACCTGAAACAGCCTAACTCGTCTATTCCATGATTCCGAGGCGAATCGACTTGACAAGCATTCAACAAGGCTCATTAAGAAGACCAAGATATACAGGTAGTAGCCAAACGTACTAGCAAATTCGAAGCTCGCGAACTATGGCGAACGAGAAAACAGGAATCGAGTGAATGTACTACAATCCGCGTAATATGTGATGTCTAGTCACATTTCAAATAAGCAACACTAATTAGGTTAGGCGCTATAACACAATTGATTAACGCTTAAGGAAAGCGAGGACATTCCTCGTAAAAGTCACGTCATCGGAGTAACCAACCAAGCACGTTGATGCCGTCGTTGTATTCTAGTGCAGCCTTCACATAGTCAAGAGTGCCATTGTTGAGCATCTCCAAATGCATAGTATCGTTTATTTTGAGAATCTTCGGACGAATGGTGACGTACTTCGTCTGAGCTTGTTGAAATGTGGCTGCCACAATATTTTCCGGAAACATATTTCTGAACGACGTTTATTTTGAAAAGAAAATTTTCTGGGAAAAATTCTTATCAGAAATGTTAAAGATAGTGCTTGAATTTTTCGCATTTTATTTGCAGCTGAATGGGAGGCTTGCAACTGAATAAGGACTTTAAATAGCACTAAAGTGTCTGTAATGAACATACCTTAACAAATCGAGTAACGTGTCCAGAGTGCTAACTGTCTTTCCTTCCGTACCCTCGCCGAGATCCTCCTTAATGCTTGGATCTCCAGGATGAATGGACAGCACCAGTATGATTCCAGTCTGGAATTCCAATTGTTATTGTGCTCCTGTGATCGCAATGCAAAATAACAAAACAATATTTCACTGTGAAACTATCAGCACAGCAAAAAAAACCAAACAAAGAAGGTTATAAAACATACACCTTACAAGAATTTCTCTCACATTCGTTTAGCTCCTGGTAGGGAATGAACCTTGCTGCCCAATTTTTTTTTATTATCTTGCAACTGAGAAGCAGTTTCGTTTTTTCTTAGAAACATTAAAAACGCTAGAGAATCCAGCATTCTTTATCAGTGATGCTGACTTAGTGAGAGGAAATAATATTGTGATATATGGGAAATGATTTGTAGCAAACACCTGAACAATAGAGAATACAGAAAGGTTTCAGCAACGTGGGAACCTCGATCAAATCTATGAAACAGATCGGCTTACTTTACTCCAAAAACATCTGAATGGCCACTCACAATTACAGCAACAATTGTAGTGACAAAGTAGTAGGTAATCGCCAACGATCCCATTTTTCCGGACTGTTTTGCGTCTAGTTGTGAAAGACCTGGAAAATTCAAACCTTAAACGATGATCAAGATTGCACCAACGATATTTTCTATATAAGCTCTTTCTTGATTTTCATCACTTTCTTCTGGTGTCGTGGAACCCTTTTCGGTGATCGAGGAGGAAAGGGAATGGACAAAAAGAAAATCGGTGAACATGCCAAAGAATGGGCTTGGGTGACAAAAAACGGCGATTTCTCTCCTGAAGAAGAAGTTCTTAATAAGATAATTTTGGAACAAAAAATGCAAAAATGCAGATGAAACTAATTATACTTATGAATAAATGCTCGTGCTAACCTGAGATTAGAGAACTAATAATCAGAGGGAGAATCATCATCTTCAACATCCTCATCAACAATTCTCCAGGGAAGCTCACCACCATGATCGTCTGAATCGGATAGATCAAAGTAGTTCGGTAAAATAATGAGTATTATACAAGGATATTGTAAAGTTCTTCGCTTCTACATCGTCATTGAGCGTTTCGTCATTTTTTCACTACTACTGTCGTTTTTCTTTTCAATAAAAGTACTTGGAAGACCGCACGAAGAAATCACAGCTGAAAACATACTTTCCTCGAACCTACATCTCTGTGAAGACTAGAGTACAACCTTGCAAGGTTATCAAGCCTCCAGTGAAGATCAAATTGCTCAACCAGCAATTAGCCAGTCTCAACGACTAGCACACTGGGTGCGTCCGTCAATAATGTCACTCACTGAGATGGCCGATGAGAGGCCACAAAACTACGAGTTACCCAGGAGGTTACTGCGACCGAATCTGACTAACACATGCACGATATGCTATGCATATTGTTTTTAGCTTTGCACGTACATTAATACTATCTTCAGACGCCGACCTTCACGCACTTCTTAAAGCCCCGAATCGCATAAGATTTCATGTCATCGCACATCAAGAAAGAAAAATAGAGAAGACCGACATAGGCCAACTAAACAACGAGCGAGACTCTTGTCATCAGCGGACAGAAGCTCCTGTCACGAAATGTCGGTGCTGTAGGATTTGTCGTCCACCCATCCATCGCCCATCTCGTCAACTCGTACGAGATTCTTTCCCTTCTCACAGCTGCCTTCCGTCTTCAGCTAACGCGTCATAAGGAAATCACCACCATAGATTGCTACTTACTTACCGACCAGCAAAGCTGATTAGTACAAATCAGATTCGTTCAAATGTTATCAGTTAAAGGAAGTTATCCGCAATAATAAAGCGTATTATAAATTCGTTGTCGGAAACTTCACGGATAGAAAAGCCCAACGTGGATAAAAACAGGATCAGAAAATTTGAATTGGAAGAAAGAAATGAGAATGGAAACCGTCTTACAGAACACCTGTCTGCAGCACATCTCTTCCATGGAAATTCGTTTTTGCAAAAGACAGAAAGATACTGCTGAACACGAGAGTCTTCTAACGGCAAAACTAATGCGGTGATCGACCATATTTTCACAAGCAGAAGATTGATTCTACTTGTTACATCGATAACCCCATCACTTTGTACTGCGTCTGATCGCCTCCTTTTTGTTTCAAAAATACGATTCATCCGTAAGCTGAAAAGGAATTATTTCATCGACCACGAAGAAAAAGATTAACTGTATATGACGATAGCATTCTGAACGGAATCCTACCTTAGCGTGACTGACAGATCAAGGAAGGTTCGGCCGAAGACAACGAACTGCTTATCGAAGAACTTAGAAGCAGCGGTAAATTCGCCTCGTTTCCTTAAGCAAGGAGATCAGATCGCATGTCCATTACCACTAAAGTGTTGCTCGAGAAGAGAAGAAAATTCAAGATTGAACCTGGTGCTGTAGACTTAACATTACTAGTAATAAATTCCAGTTGCAGAAGAGCTTTGCAAGAAAAGAACCATCCTAAAGAAAAGTACCGTGGGGCAACTGCGATTATAGTGTTCCGTTGACAGCCCTGATGAACGAAGATGGGATCATTAAAAGTTTTCGCTAATATGGAATTAATAACGGAAAGATTGAACGCTAACATTCTTCGTTCCACAATTTCTGTCCCAGTCCTTGAGATCCCAGGTGAAAAAAAATCACCTGTAATTCTTTTCTCTAAAGTTCGAATTGCGATAGAAAGCAGAAAAAAAGGACAGCTTTAGGACTCGATAACATTACACCTTCTTGCTTAGAGTTCAAAAGGAAAAAATCGAGGACGAATGGAAGACGCTCCACGCGGATACCTTGCCCAAGAAAGGTGACCAAAGGAATTTTCGTAAGTATCGCTCGATACGCTCGTTGAGTGTGCTCTACAAGCTCTTCACGACAAAAATCTTGTCACGCACACGGAGAAAATTGAATAAGGTGCAGCCAATTGAACAGGCAGGACTTCGACAAAGATTTTGCTCACGGACCACATCAAAATTTCACTGAAGTTTGTCTGGAATTCCCCTTCCTCCAGTCATAACTTTTGTCGACTATGAAAAACCGTTTGACCGTGTGAAGCGAATGCAACCCTATCAGCTCTCGTAGACCGAGTTGAGGATCCATACTACGTAAAAACTCTATCAGACAATTATGGGAGTTGCATCACGAAAATACACCCTTTTCAACGACCTCTTACCACACCCATAGACAAAGCGGTTCGAAAAGGAGACACAATATCGTCAAAGTTGTTTATTGTCACACTGCAGTGCACAAAGAAGTCACACGATTTGGATGAGCAAGGTGCACCGACTTGTGAAAAATTCCTAACCAACCTTCGTTTCGCCGACGATATAGTCTTCTTTTCAAGATTTAACAGCGAAGCAAGGGTGACGATCAATGAGCTCAACGAAAAAGATCGGAATACGCATAAGTCGGAAGAAGACTCAGTTCATGAAAACCCATGGTGCGAAGGCGAAAAATTAAACCAGATGGCTCGCTGATTGCAGAGACCACCTCGTACGTATACCTTGGCAAATCAATGAACATGAAAACAACATGAAGGAGGATCAAGATAGAAGGACAGCAACTTGGGCCGCATTCGTGCCTCTCAAAGAAGCCATGCCGTCGACCAAATGAAGGACCCGAAATCGGCGTTCACCCTCTCGATTCAGCAGTCCTTCCAGCTCTCTTTTGTGCAGCAGAAAAGACGGTTGATGTTTCAACTATGTCAAGAATACTGCGCACTACTTACAGAGCGCTTGAATGATCTTTTCAGAGATCTAATCGGCACATTCAGTATCTAGGAGGAATGGGAAGCCATGATCTTCGAAATCTATCCCGTCTTCGGGATCCAGGAGAATACATATCAGTAGCGAAACCAGATAAGCCGGTGACATAATAGGAAGAATACATGGCAGAAAGACGAAGAGAACTGTAGAGTAGACTCCATGAGGATGAATGCGGCTGTTACACGTTGGGCCGACGTGTTCCTAACCTTATTTAATCTCAGCTGCAGTTGTTTTACAGATCACAGTATGAGTCTCACACCCGCCACCATGATCGAACCAAGCCACCACTATGTATTACAATCTCAGGGAAGAAAACGAGTGAAAAATCTCTTGGGATCCGCAAGACTCGTAAAGACTGGCCGTCAAAGTAACGAAGTAAGTAAGTATATTGTAAAGTGGAGCAATGAAGTGAACTTTAATAAAAAAAAAAAGAGGGAAAAAAGAACGAGAATATAGAACTACTTTTAAAACGTTTATTTCTCTCACATACCTTTTTTTAGAACGCTGTCACAGTTTTATTCTAATAATTTTTACACGAGATGATTCAAAACTGTTGTTTTCTGATATCATGCCTTCTACGAAGGCCATGTAAAAGTTAATAATATTCTCGACACCTCATTGATTTTTCCAGTAAGGTTTAGTACATATGGTAGCGATATCCATTGATTTGATTAGCACCGAATGACTCGTTGAGAATTCGTTTACAGCAACCGTGATTACTGTACCGTCTATTGACCTGTACTATTTGGTCTTTTACTTATACAACCGCTATTCATGTGTTAAACTCTATAGTACTGCGCCCACGTAGCGCTGAATGTGATATTAAAAACAGAAAACGAAATAATCTTAACCGATTTTTAAGACCAATACCCAGAAAAACAGCCAGAACAGAGTAAGTCACTGTTTCGTTGAATTGCAAACATCAGGTTGTTTATTCAATCCTTATTTATAAACAAGCTGACGCTTCGATGGATTTCGCCTTCTCCGGAGCCTGGAATGGTCAAGTTGATTGCAATCTATCAAGCTAGGCACCTGCATAATCCAACGGGGAAAACACGAAACCAAGATTTCAGTCACGCTTAATGCAAAATAGCTTCTTCGCACATTCACCTCTTTCTTTGAGTACGTCACGTGGAGACCAACCGCACAGAGTTCACAACGAAGCGTAATGCAACTGTCACACTAAAATGTCAGTCTGAGGTATAGGTCAGGCGTGAGAACGGGGCATTCGTGCTCTCGGTTCATTTTCTGATTCTTGAAATGTAACCAGAATATTTCGAAAGCTGTGTGTGCCGAAGTTTTCGATTCCTGTGCGAGGACAGTAACTTCTGCATCAAAATCCTCCTCATTATGTTTCTGTCCCATGCGTAGTATTTGGTTTAACTTTAAGTATACCAACTAGTTGTTTCTTTGTGCGGATGCAAATATTCGACGCAATCTTCTTGGCTCTCACAGGACGCAGAGACAAAACGGTGAACATTTTGAAGTGGAAGTTACAATCCTCGCAAAGGAATCGAAAACACCAGCGCACAAAACTCTCAAAGCATTCTGGATAATTCCCAAAAATCCGAAAATGAACCGCAGGAAGGAATGAGTCATAAGCTACATTACGCTTCCATGTGAACACTTTGCGGTTGGTCTCCAAGGGGCATATTCAGTGAAAGACTCATAGAAAGAGGTGTGCGCGAAGAAGCTACTTTGTGTTAAATGTGATTAAAATCTTGGTTTAGTGTTTTTTCTCTGTTGAATTATCGAGGCATTTGACTTGATAGATGTTGACCTTCTAGGTTTTGAGAAAGGTCAAATCTGTCGAAAAGCTCGTCAAGGGAACAGTAGGTTAATCGATTATTGCCGAGATCAATAGAAAGTCGGTTGTGGGAAGTAAAACAGAATCTCATCAATAAATCAATGAAGAGGGAGTTCGTGCAGAAAATCTAATAATACTAAAAAGACTTAGGCTTTTTGAAGTTCTAGTCAAACATTGATTAATCGTTTTAGAACAAAAAAAATAGATGGCTTATCTTTACAACCCACTTGAGCTGAAAGGTTTAATGGACGGATGACAAATCCAAGCAAAGCACCTGATATAACAGACCCAATTGTCATCACAAGTAAAAGATTTTTCCGCATCCACGACACCATCTGAAAACATCAAAAGATAGAGTCGATTTTTAAATATTTCCCAGAGTTCTCAAAAGCATTCCTAGTATTTTCTATCCGTAGTATTGTTAATCTTGGAGACATTCTAGCCTGGCTACCTCAGGACGCCAGGAAGTATCGACTCGACCAGCATTCAACGACATTTGAAGCAAAAAAGGTGACTACTTTCAAGCAGAAACCGAATTCACCCCTGAAAAGTTTGATGTCCTACGTGGATAATGGATCCAACGAATGGAATGTAGGAAGTACTGCGATCCGCATGGTAGACGAGAAAACTATGCGGCTGCAGGGAAGTCAGTGGGTAGGAATGCTATGAAAAACACATATGGTCGTTGTGTCAAATCCGTTCCAAGCTAGTAAAAACTCAAAGCATCTTTTCAGTGTCGGCAAAGTGGATTTAAAGGAAAAACTGTATAGGAAACTGTATAGGAAAAACTGGTGACTACTTGTGCTGAAGAGCTCTAGAAACGCACTAATAGAACTGTCCTGATATACGGAGAAGAATGAAGTCGATCGCGACTTAACAACGCCAATGAAGAACTCTTTCCAATAAATAAAAACCAGCGATTGGACCTCCATTTACAAGCGTTCATAAAGAAGAGAAAGTCCCAAAGTAGTAATCGAATCCACAAGCTGAGCAGACAGGAAAACCTTCGTGGATGATGTGCTGAAGGGAAGTGGTATAATGGAAGAGATACTCAGATCCGCACAATATTTGAAGTTGTTATGTAAATGAACCAACGAATAAATTGTTGGATTGATTACACTTCGATAACTGAATAAGTGGATGTACCGAATCTCTTTTATAATGAATCATGCCTGCTCCAGTTGTCTGTTATTTTGCAGAATAATAGAAACCTTTTGGAGGCGCGTACGTAGCGCAGTGGTTAGAGATGCCCCGCAATACATGGGGATCGATCCCGCGCCACAAGCTCACGAAGCCTTCCATCCCTCCAAGGTTGGCGAATTGCTAGGAGACCTGTCTAGGATGATAGCAAACTCAACAGGCCACTACGACTCACTGTGTAGGCCAGATGTGAATTAAATCACCTTTAACGATGATTGTCAATGCACGGCCCATTCCACAGGGAATGATCAACACCGAGCTCTTTATCCTTGATCGTTCCTTATAGGCCGTAGTTAGCGATACTATACCGTTGCCAAATAGTTATTACAGGCATCTGCAACTTTTGTGCATAGAAAAATCTGCGTTCTCTCTGCACTTTTTTTTAGGAAGACGACAACTCCTGAAGAAAGCTTCTCTTTAGCTATTATTCGAGGCGGAATTCTCGAAAGTTTTTTCATTTATTCGCTGGAGTTCATCAATTTGATGAACTACATGATATCCACCACGGCTCGGCAATCAGTAGAATTCCCTTGGCTACGATTAATGAAACGGATTGAACGCTGATTCGGTCAATAGTATCCAAAGATAACTGCAACAGCGCCGGAAAATGTGTTGATTATGGTGAAATAGCCAGCCACAACGTATACCGTATAAAAAGTTGCCATGACAAGTGCATCACTAGAACTAAAGTTTCATAGCAGTTGGGCAACAAAAATCACTTCCCGCCACAATAGTTGTTGACGGAGAGGTCGAAGATCTTCGTAAATCTACTTGATATACAAAACATCTAGGATCCATCGCCATCCAGAGACTTCAGTAAAAACATTCACGATAAAATTGTTGATGTTTGCCATACCAGCCAGTTAGGAATCGGACTAGAGGCCATGTTTGTACTACAAGTCTCCATCGAATGTGCTGCACAAGCCTTAGTTAAAGAAAGTGAAATTTATTTATATAATAAACAACATCAACAACATTAGAGGCTCACGATGTTTTTGGCCGGTCAATGGATTTGTGCTAGCGGAAGTGGTCTGTTGGTATTGTGTGATAAATGTTGGCGTAACGGAATACGGTATATGTTCGATAGGGATCGTAATCGAGTAGGTTGAATTGTCGTCGACTGACAATCGGTCTGAATCAGTACAACAATTGTGATTGTTGCTGGAAAAATACCAGATAGCGTAACGACTACGACAGACGGATGATTTGATGATATGAAAAGTGATGGTTGTCAAGATGATTATATGATGTTTTGACGGCAGCTGCAGCATCAACCACGACTGGAATTTGAAAGAACGCCGCAAACAGATAGGGCACAGAGAAAGTACGATAAAGATGGAAAAGTCGAAGAAAAAACAGTAAGTTCTTACGAATCTGACGCTAGCTAATCAATGAAGGAATAGGAACAACTAGGTTACTAACAGATAGCACGAAGAACTTTTTTAGAAGTAAGAACTACTGAAAAGAAATAAAAGAAAGCAGTCATAAAATCAATAAAGTAGGTACGAAATACATTGATATGTCAGAATAAAGTTAAAAGTGTAATAGAAGAAGTCATATGACAGGCAAAAGAATTTCACAAAGATATGTATAGAAGAATTATTGATCGATGTGAGAAAGTGATTTGTTCATGCGTAATAATTTTCGGGTTGTTGACTTTCGATCGATTTAAATATCGATTAGTCATGAACGGTAAAAATTACAACTACTGAAATAAATACTGAAAAATCTGAAGTTTAAGTTTTTTCTTCAGGAAAAGGTTGATAGTGAGACGAAGTTCAAGGAAATTGTTTCAAAAAGTAATGACATGAATTCAATTCAATTGTTTGCAGTGGTTGAAACAGGATGAAAAGTTCAAAAGCTCTCCCTTCTTTCACTTATAGCTAACAACTTCGACCCGACTTCATTTTAAATCGGCTTTTTCGTTCGTGAAAACATGAAAAAGATGCGGAGCAGTCGTAAAGTTTAACTGGACAGAGTTCTTAGTTAAGCTTAAGATGTTAGTCAACAAGAATTTCAGCACTTCAAAGATTTCTAGCCATTTGTGGGTGCCGGCCTTGTTGGATATGGAAATGTCTTGATTAGTAGGAGAGGAAGTTCAGGAAGTTCACTGCTTGGCATAGTCACCCGTGCTGAAAACTGCGACATTTTCATCCGGAACTCCAGCCAAGAATAAACAAATGTTTGCGTAGCGAAAGAAACCTTGTAGCAAGGCGTTGGAAATTCCCGTCGATCCACAAAAGCTTGTGACTGCTTGTAGCGACGATCTGCGGACATTCCGGCATAAATTCTTCGGGATCTCATTCATTATGATATTTTTCACCCGAAATATGAGCTAAGAGCAAATGAATACCGGAAATTTCCTCTGCAACGGTAGAAAGCTTGGTACAAAAAACCTTTTCCGAACGACATGTGCAAGCAGCCGCCTGTGATAGTGGCCTGATAACACTATGCTAGAAGTATCTTGGAAGTACAACAAAAGTTCATGACAAACTAGTAGTACGCTAATAAATATGAGTAAAAAATGTACTGAAGCTTATAGAATTACTCGTGAAAACGGATGATTCAAGTACAATATAACATTTAAGTAGTTACTGTAGATAACTTTAAAATAAAAGCTGGATAGTTACAGCACTCTTCAGTGACACTGGTACTAGGAAGTGGTTGAGAGCATGCGTCAGAACACCCAGAGTGCAAGCTTACTAAGAATCCGTATTTCTGTTCCGTAAGCCAGATGCGAAAGAGAAAAACGGGAACTCTCGCTCCTCTGCCAATTTATGATAGCTAATGCTCGGCAGTTGGCAAAAATCACGAGGTTCAGCTAAATAAACAATCAGTGAGCTCAAGAAAATACAAAAAGGCCCTTGAAAAGCAAAGGAAGATGGAATTAGCCTCTGCTGAATTGCGTTGGCGCAATGCAAAATAGAATTCATTACTACCATTAGTGAAGAACCTTATGGTTGGCTTTTTATTTGGGAATTTCACTGGAATACCAGACGAGATGTTTCTTTATTTGCTGAAATGGTGAACTTAATTAGGAGCAAATTCCCAGGCGAAAGAATTCATTCCAGTTGCAAAGGAAAATTTCTCAACAAAGGAAAAGATTTGTGCTCATTAATGTACATTCAATTAAGGCTCCATTGACATGCATATCATATCGGCTTCATTCCTTTAGAAGGATCACTTCGACCACTGCGGAATAATCTTTTTAGCTACAAAAAATAACAAGCTGATCTGCCATAAAATGGATCTAAGCTGGATGATTTTGCTACATCTCGGAGGAAAGGAGGTCCTGGAGGTCCATCTGAGATTTACTGCAGTGATCGATCACAGGATTAAGGTCACCATTAACTAAGAAGGACTCCGGCATTACTAACCGAAAACAGCTACGGAGAACAGAAGAATCCGACAGAGTTCCTATAATCATTTTTTGTCTAAAACTCAAGAAAAGCACGCTACGGGAACAATTAAGAGTTAATTGACTTCTCCTTCGATGACCCTTCCATGAGTAACTTGATGATTGTAACAGCCACAGGTGATACCCTCACATACTGTTCACCGCCTCATCGTGGCTTGGAGGTGCTCCTGGGTGCCGGACTGCGACGTACAGCGAGAGAATCATCCCCTGGTAAGATCTCCCAAGCTGAGAAGGAGACCGGTGCTTCCATCAGAAAGCCTGGCTAATAGTAAACCAATACCAGGATCCAACGTCGCCTTGGTATCAAAGTCGCATGGTGGCAAATCTCTCTCTAATCCACAAGGGCTGTGACTGCTTGTGGTGATGAAGACCTGAGTCAGACTTTGGCTAGGCTGACCTCGGGATACCAGGAAACTACAATGGCTGAACCAACAAATCTCCGAAAAGTGGAGTTTATGCTGGGGCACACACTACCACCGAGGACGGACCGTTCAAGTATCAAGTACAGATGATACACGAAAGTGAGCATCACTCAGCACAGTTATCATTAATTAATGACTGTTTTATTCACAAGTCTGGCTATCACGCTTGTTACAGAGCTTTATTCTGGCCAGTGTTTTGGTACTATCGCTTTCCCCAGAACGACAACGATTAAAATTCAGTGGCTACAGTAAAGTTTTGCAACAGCGCAATGTAAGCTCACACAAATCGATATAT